AAAAAAAAAATAAATAAAAGTGTTTAGGTGAAATACAATCAATGAGTCGAGTATGGTTCGAGTGTTAAGTACTCATTGCAGTTCTCTGTTATGAACTCCCTTTTGAGTGGACTGCTTTTTAGAGGATTTACTTATAAGGGAATCTCAGTCAGCTTCAACACCTGCGCTTAACATGCGTCTTGTGCTTTAATAAAAGCTCTAAATATTTTTCTTATACGGGAAATCACTAGACCTACTTTAAGATCGGCTATATATCTATTTGAAAGTCAAAATTTTTTTGTTTGTGTTTGTTTTTCCAGAAGATAGCCTCTGAAGCTAAATATACTGAATAAATAATTAGATTTTTACCTATAATAAACTTTTTCCAATATTATAATTGAATTAATTTATGTGTACTACTCTAATTAAAGCATAATCCACTCTTTTCAATAAAATATTTTAATCTCAATGTATTGAATCAAATCTCGGATGAAGTAAAAAAAACTTTAAGGCACCCACACCTTCAACCACTGAAAAGCGTGAGTAGGTGAGTAAATAATTCAAAAAGTTGAAATTAATGAAAACGGAAATATTCTGTTTGCAAAATGAAAGTAAAAACACAAAAATGTAATTTGCCCGCCAGTGTTGCATATTCATGAAAGTCATCATAACAAAAATATGGGTCAATAGCCACTTGGCGATTTTATTGCACTTCCTGCTGCATCGCTGCATTTAAAAAGAGGCAAACTGCTCCGAGCCGCCAATAAGAGGAGCCCACCGTTGTGCAGATTCTCTACATTTCACTGTTTCAGTTCCACCAGAAAATTTTTGTACCAATTTTTCCTATTTTAATTTTATTTTATGTTTATATATTTATTTTATTTTTTTTGTTACTTCAAAGTTTTGGTGTGTTTACATCCTGAAACCACTTCTAGATACACGCTCCGTGGTGCATGGAGCACCTCACGAATTGTTAAACTTTAAACTCGATAAAGCCTTAATTAATTAGTTTTATTGTTGCTGTTGTTTACGGTTTGGGTGTATAGTAAAGTTTATTTAATATTGTTTTTTTTCTTTTTTTTTTTAAATAAAGGACACGGAACAATAAAACGAAATTAAGTTATAATTTTACTCAGTTATTTCAAGGATTAAAAACTCTTTCCCTTTCATGAATTTATTATGAATTTTAACTATTCATTTAAGCATTTATAATATCAAGACATTTAATGAAGTAGGCTTTTAATTAATTAAATAAACTAATTATAGATTTTTTATGCCGCCTTTTAGAATATTCGGGATATATCCTTTAGCTCTTTCAGTTTCTTTGTTGTACTTCGTCGGTCATAGATCTTAATCATTATTTGTTATCATCAAGGCAGTTCTTAGCTTTCTTATACCCAGGTTAAGATGACTGAAATCCAGATAGAGTAGTTTCTGTTGACTTAGTGGATGTTTACACTGACGAATCTAATGTAGATGAAATAGCAGACGGTTGCATATTTTCGTATGAATTAAGACTTAACATCACGTTTCCACTAAGAATTCAATGCAGTGTATTTCAGACAAAAATAATAGTGATTTAATATGCAGCAAAATGAGTCCTGTCTGACATGATTCCTGGTGTAAATATCATAGTCCTCTAGGACAATTAAGCTTACATCAGGCTTCTGGTAAACATTGCAACTATATTTTTAATAGTTCAACAATGCTGTGCTTCTCTTAATTATCTAGATAGGTTCACCAATGTTCTGCTTTTATGAGTACCTGGACACAGGAAAAGCTTGGCAGATGAACTTACTAAGGTAGGCACCCGATTTTCAATACTCAGATATTGGTATGCCTCTTGCGACGGCCAATTCAATAATCAAAATATCTAAGTATAGCTAAGCATAATTGGGCAGATAAAACCTACAATCAGATCTCAAAGGTCAACTATTTCAAAGTGAACAAGAAACGTACCAGTTAGTTGCTTTAATTAAGGAGTAACCTGTTCAGCACTACGATATTATGAAGACAAGCTGTGAGATTGAGTCCAACTTATAATAAGTTTTGTCGGAATTGTGGTTATGTGGACGAAAAATAAACTGGCTAGGAGAAGATTGAAAATCTTTATTTCCTATTTTCCAATACTCTAATTTTCTGAAAAATTAGGAACTTGGCCAAGTTTATAGCCTTATCAGGCTATCACGAGTTCACTTTCACTTGAATGGGGAACGCGTTTATAATTTATTTTGGTATGCATATGAACAACGCTCCGTGGTATCACAATTGGACATTATTTCAGCTAGAATGAGCTTTGCGCACAAAACCGTCACTTCAACCTAACCTAACTCTAGACAGTTTATAATAGGTGTTTGAATATTTTAATCATGCATGATACCGTATCTTTGATATCTTACCTATTATAGACCTCGATAACAAAAATCAGTTTGTAGATTTGTGACGTATATACAATAGAATAGAAAATATATGAGGTATTGGAACTTCCTAGAGCAGAGCATTGAGCTCTTATTTTTTGTGCTTCTAACTGACCCTAATCAAACAGAAGTTAACTCCACTCTTCAAATGAAAGCCACTTTGTCAGATATTGAAGTGAAAAAAAACATTAGGTGGGTGAATTTTAACATCAGGTAGGTGCGGGATCTTCAGGTCCAATAATTTTTATCTCTAATTGTAACTAGAGGTCCCATCCGCTTCTAAGTAAGGTCGAAAGTCTATTTCCTGAAACAGACCTATTTTGTTGGGAAAAAGAGAGATCATGATAAGTGGCTAGATAACTTTCTAACAACCTCAGTTCTGAAGAGCGATGCACTACCGTAGTTGTATAGATAAACCAGCTCTTTAGTTTCGCAATTACCTGACGAATAGCGTCTGTTATGGCTTTTTTCGATCACAGACCTATTAGATCTATTAAAAACTTATTTTACAACTCATTTTATAATAACGTTACGGTACTGTATAGAACTGTGTGGCTTACAATTTGGTCCTTACAAGTTTGTCTACACATTTATTGGCATTGATTCTAATCTGATCTGGCACCTAGAAAAGCATCAACATATTTTTGTATACCAGCTGCTTCCACGCATGTTTCGTGCGAACGACTACATATACTTCCTTGTTATTGATGTTGTTTAATAATGTTTAATAACTGCACAGAGATTCATCTTATTACCGACTCTATTTTGAATGTGTAGTAGATACATATAGTAACTGTAATATCCATACTCGAAAGTTTTAAGGGTTGATTGCGATGAATGTACAGGAAATAATGGAGCTATAAGTATGAGTCCTAATGAAATTAAACATAAAACCGATAAGCATTATTTAGGATTGTCTGTGATTAGGATTAGTATTAGTACTGTGAAAAATCATTCATGTCACTTTAATAGAAAAATAATTATGATGAGTTTACCAATTAAATACATCTACCCGCAAATATGAATTCCCTCCTCCATGTTCTTTAATATTCACCTCCTGTTGAATGTGAGAATAATTTGCATTCCAGTTTTATGAAAATATTTTAAATATGCTTGAATATATTTCCTAAAACCAAACTTGGTACTAAAATTTTCAAAAATATGGACACTTTGAAAGCTAGAATTCAGAGCATTTAACTCCGACACCAGCGATTGAACGAGAATCGCAGCTTCCATGGCTGCTGGAATTTGCATGTCAGAAGTTGAAATTCGCAATGCAACTTTGCAAAAATATGCAATTTTGCATTTTCAAATTGATAAACAAAATTTCGCTATTTATTTCCAAATAAGCCCTAATATTCGGTTGTGTTACTTTGTGGAGTGTTTACAGTTGCAGTGTTTCAGTATTAAGTGGAAAATGTTCAGTTGCTACGGAATGGCAAACATTTTCCATGCTTCATGTGGAATTCTCCAAATATCCCGCGAAATATCTTCGCTAGCTTACAGGAAATTAAATGGAAACATATTTGGCTCCATCGCTTTTGCTGGTATTCGACAGAGCATTCAATTTTATTGACAAGTTTGCATTCCTTCGCACTGGTATGTATAGCGAGTGATACACTCATGGACTTACTATCTTCATATCTGGTATTTCAATTTGGCTGCAGGTGATAGTGTGGGCATGTTTAGCTAGCGTTGGAAGTTCAGAATATCTTGAAAACAAAAGTATACTTCGTGTTTCTGTACGAATTTATGTATCCGTTTTGGCTTAAAGTCTTCACAGTTGTTGTTGTTAGTAAGTTTGTCTCGTCTATCACAAGGATATGAGAATAGATGAGCACTTCGTGGTGCGAAAAGTTTCCTGGCAAAGTAGTATGAGCGTTAAAAACAACGCAAAATACGTGATATGACTATGAGATTTGGTTACTCAATTGAAGTTTTTTTTCACATTTTTACCAAATTTAAAAGATAAAATATATTCCTTATTTGTGAATAGTGTTTTCGAGAATACTAGAGAATGGCTTTGGAATATTCTTAAAAATTTGAGAAATACATTTGGAAAACTTTAATATATAATATGCAGTGAAAAAGTATGTATGTGTTGAAAAGTCCTCAATTGCGTTATGTTTAGTAAAGATCTGCCTCCAAATTGCATTCGTCGATCTCTCTCATTTTATCATAGAGATATCGACACCTTTTGCTATGGAGCTAATATCAGTGAGATCGAATATAATCGTGGACTTACAGCCTTCCACACAGTTACGGTATTCTCTTCAAGAACAAGGTTGAGGTACAACAGACTTCTGCCTAACAACTCTGAGAAAGAACGACTACTCCCCCATGCAGTAAGAAATGTCATAGTTTTATTGAAACCAGAATCCTTTCATGTTATTTGCTTTCTAGATCCCAGGATTTTCGCTCCTGTAGGCAGATAGTGCATTGCCTGACGCAACGGTTACAAGAACTTCTTTAAGTAATGTATTTCTGAGAATGACAGGAATATCAAATAAAAAAAGGTATAAAATAGTATAAAAAAAGTGAACGAACATTTTCAATAATTGTCAAAATAAAATCATTACTACCATCGATTTAAAATTCATATGTTTTTTTATTTAATTTTCATCCTAATATATTTTTTGCTTTTTTTGATTTGACTTGCGGAAACTATAAGATCAATGAGTGAAGAGGAAAAAAACAAAAATGTGGATAAAAATAATCAGCATAGAAATAGTGAAAATAGTGAACAAAATAATGATAATGAAGAAAATACGGAGGAAAGTAAGAAAGAAAATAATGATAATGCGAGAGAGTCTAAAGAATCTAAAGAACCCGAAGACACTGATGAAACTGGGCAAAGTGAAAGTAAAAAGTCTTCATTGGAGTAAGTTTCACTGTTTATATTGATTACGCATAACACTCGTCACTCCATATAGTTGTTCTACTAAAAGAACCTCATATTTTATATTATTCATTTAGGTTACACTTTTTGTCACTATTGTTAATTATAATATCTTAGGACCTACAATGTGATAAGTGACCATCACATATTTAAAATAAAATAGGAAGCTTTTATTATTTTACCATAACCAAAACTATATACGATTATTATATCATTGAAGTCTCCTTTAGATAGAACTCCACTCATATAGAAGTACCAGTCAGTGATTTTTTCATTAGAACAATTATGTATATATATGTACATATATATATATATATATAATATATATATATATATATATATATATATATATATATATATATTATATATATATATATATTCTTGATTCTTCTTCTTCTTGAGTTAGTGCTATTACGCACCTTTACTCTATAATGGCTGGGGGGCTTATCTCTACCCTACACTAGACTTTAACTAGGCTAAAAAAAAAACACTTAATTTATTTGACAGTTTAGAGCTCTGTCTCTGATATATTTTTTCACTGAGTCAATCTTAAGATCTCTATGTATGTCTGTTGATCTAATATACCATGGAATCTTAAACAGTTTTCTTAAAGCCAGATTTTGAGCTACCTGTAATTGCTTTAAAGTATTATTTGAGACTTTGCTATATGTAACACATCCGTACAGTAGTGCAGATCTAATTACTTGCGTATAAAGTAACTTTCTGTTTTTAAAGTTGAAGTGATAATTATTAAATATATATATATATATACATATATTAAAAATAATGCAGAGTACATATATATGTAATGTAAGATGATCTGCAATAGAGTTCTCCAGACCAGATAAGATCGCGAGCCAATTCAATTCATTGAATATTAAATAAATACATACGTTCATAATCGTACCGGAGAAAAAAATACGGCGTTAATATAATATTTTATTAAATAATTTTAAGCTAACATTTTTTTAGGATATTATAAACATAAAATAATGTAATGCTACCAAAATATAACAAAGAAAAATTTGCTTCAGTGTGGTAGATTAGAAACATATCGCGGGTCGCACAAATATTAGTCGCGGGCCGCATGAGACCCGTGAACCGTGCTTTAGACAGCCCTGATATACATTATATGTTATGCAGCAATCAAAAAAAGTCAGAAGACAATGATATAATTTAAATGAGTAGCTACCGATAGATTTTTCCATTCTTTAGCTTCCTTTAGACTGAGAAGTTTACTGGTTAGTCGAATATACCTAAAGTAGCTATTAATAATCTTTTGTTTGTTTTTTTAAAGAAACTATGCAGATTCTTGTTTGGTTTTATAAAAAGCTGTGGCTGCCATTAGAGAAAACATTTCTATAATATAGCAGCTTAGATAAGAGAACTGGACAGCTTCAGTTTCAACACACTTAGAGATTTAAATTGTTAAATCGATAATTGTTAATAGTATTTTCCCTTAGTCAGCATAATAATATTAACCAAAATATTTACTGCAAATTTTTAAAAGGCTTTTTTAAATAATTTTTTCATATAACCAACATTCATTTAAATAATATTTTGTAATATTTTTATTAAGCAACGTTAAGTATCAAAGAGAGGTAAGTTTTTTAGAAAACTCAAGAGATTTAAGTTACCAATCGCTACCTTCAATGGATTCAAATTTAACTGAAACAGGATACACTGACTCAATCACATATGGAGAAGGATACATAGAACCAACTGATAAAGTATTATATCCTAGACTTAAAGAAGAACTTTTCCCTGAAGATGAGGATCTAACGTCAGATCCACTGAGAAATGCAGTAGCAGAAAGAAGAATATCAGAAACCACAATGATCACACATAAAGCAATTGCTAAGCAATACGGTTCTTATGGTAATCGATATGCTAAACGTGATTCATCTAAAATTTATGGTACAGATTCTGTACTCTATACTGAGCTAAGAGAAGAAGGACATTTCGTAAGTTTTATGTTATATCGGTATGCTTGAGTATACCGATATAAAGTCACACAATTATTTGCATTTTCAAAAATTCCATTTTATTTTTAGTTATATTTTATTCTACCTCCAGATGGTGGTACAGGTTGGATTGTAACACTGATATCGTTTCTATGCCAATTACTCGTTAGCGGAATACTTTACGCTATTGGCCCAATATTGCCACATATATCTGCTGATCTCGGATTATCTGATGTGAAAGTTACACTTATTCCCACGGTTCAAATTGGTAAACTCTTGGTATTGAAATCGCTTTCATTGTTATTATTAAATTATAGTTAATATTATTATTTGATAGGTTTGTTTTTTTTATGCATGCCATTCTCAACTGCCCTCTTCAATAGCTATGGTTTTTATCGTATAAACTTATGTGGAGCATCATTTGCAGCAATCGCAATGTTTGGAGCATCTTATTGTACACAAATTGAAACTTTACTGCTTAGTTTTAGCATTTTAGGTAAGTATTGGAAAAATTCAAAAAATTTATATTATATATTATATTTGTATATATATTATTTTTGAGATTAATACTTCAGCAAGTATGAACCGATTGTAACAGCGTGTTTTATTAATTTTAAAAAATTTTACAATAGATAACATACTATATATATTTTTCAAACATTCTCATCTGAACCTGGAATTAGTTTTTAAAAATCCTCTCTTTAACTGAGTCTCTATACACGCCCTTGACAGATTAATTCTCTATACAGATAATTAATTGTTGTTCTTAAGTTCTCTTATATTGTAATTAAGTTTTCAATTTTTTTAGAAATGTATATGAAAATATAATTTTAAAATAATATTATTTTTAAATAACACAGGCGGACCAGCTTTATCAATTCTGTATATATCCTCAATTTTACGCATAAGTCTCTTCTTTCAAAAATACCGTTCGCTTGCATATGCGATGACATGTTCAGGTACTGGAGCTGGCTTGGTAGTCTTCTTCTTCGTAAACAATTATATACTAGCAGAGTACAATTGGAGACAAGTTATGAAATGTCATTCCATATTATTTGGAATATTATTTCTTATATTACTTAAACGCGTGAAAATAACACCTAAAAGGATTTTTAAAATTGAAGTAAGTTATTATCTATGTTTGTAAAACATAAAACATTTTTCAAAATATATTTAAACAAAGATACCAACTACATCTCTTGGCTCAATGATGGTAGAAGAATTTCCAAGAGAGGTACCAGTCAGAAAACTAAGTGATGTACATACTATTACTTTTGAGAATAAAAAAATTGGAGAATTATTTGGTAAGGCGTTAAGATTTTATGAAAGATATCTAATTTATTTATATTAAAACGTACACTGTCGTATATGGTCATGTAGGATTCTCTTAGACAGTGGATTCATTATTATTATTATTATTATTATTATTATAATATTAATAATGCAACCTACAAATGTATTGGTTTAGAGTATTTCTTCCAGTCCAAGTACTTCTATGAGTTGTTGTATTGAAACTATAATTTTTTTCATCTGATATTTTTCATCTGGGAACTTGCGGTATCATCTGATATTAGCGCAAGTTGCCAGTTTTCAAAGATGATAGTGTCAGTGCCCTGTCAAAATTTCTGTAATAATTCTGTTAATATTTTCACTCAGTCGCACACACAGTCCTTATACCGTTTTATGTTAAAAGTCCATATAAGCAATTTCTATTGTTATAGCCAGGTAGATGATCGCAATATAGCTTTCTTCTTTCTTCTCTTCTTTCTGAAATAGTGAGAAAAAATTACCTTTTTCTAATTTGCAGAATGAGGAGGAGGAGACCGTGCTGCATCTAATGTGTTATTGCTCTTCCCCTTTTCCTGCCGACCTGTCTGAGTTGTTATCCTGTGATGTTAGGGACTTGGCCTAGTTTATAGAAGTGTCAGGTTGCACTCTTAAAATATCTTAAAAGCTAATTTATTGGAACATTTCTAGATATACTGGGAGTATTTTGAGATATAAGTTGTGGTTGTAACTCAAAGGTAACGTAGGTAGATCGAAAAGTATTTCTAAAATAACTGTATATCGATATAGTAATGCCTTGTTGAACTATAATAACAATAGTTTATATACCATAGTTCTAGTTCTAGTAGTAAAATTTAGGTAACAGATATGTCTTCGAAAAGGTATTGTATCTTTACTCTATGCAGAGCAAGCATAAAAAGTCATTTGATGGTTTATTTATCATCGAAATTGTCACAAGTATTACCCGTTCAAAATACATTTAAATCTATAAGCTATTGATATAAAATATTGGATGTCTTAATATTAATACATATATTATTGTAACCAAATGCATATGAGTTTTTTTATATTTTATAACATTTTTTAGTTCCGTTTACGCCACCAACAGTGTTTACTCCTGGCTTAAGTGAACGCATTTTACTGGCTCCTTGTAAATTCGAAGATGTGCATGTTTATTCGAGCAACCATATTTTGAAACCCGATCTTATCGAAATAAAAGATATTTTCTATACAGGGCCAGTGAAATATATATTTCCTGAAGATGCTTTTCTGCTATTGCAAGAATCCTCACTATTTCTGATTGCCAATGAAGATGATGTAAGTAAGTGATATGAAAGTGCAATATTTTTATACATTTTAAACTAAAAAAGAATATTTTTAGACGCTTACTACACATTATATTCTATCCATGGTATGGAGTCGGCGAATAGGTAGATACGGTGGATCTGTAATGAAATTTTGCGTGAAACTTTCGTTTACGCTTAGTGTGCTCCTCAATCTGAAACTGTTAACTATGCCAAAGTATCTACTTATGTTAACAGCAGTGTTTTTCTTTGCATTAGGATTCACAACACCCTATATCTACTCCTATGGTTTGTATTAATTATTCTAGGTCATGTATAAAAATTTTTAAGCATTAAAAATGATTGTAGCTCATTCCAAGCTACAACATCCCTATGAGCTTCTACCAGGTTGCATTATCGGGATATCAATAATGCTCTTTAGTATTTCTGGTGGATTTGTGGTCTATTTCAATGCAGACGACATACTAGAAATATTCTGTGTTTGCGTAATATTTAGTGGAATTGCGTTGAGCATAAGTGCATTTTATGGTCGAACCAATGTATGCCTTCAATGCCTTTATGCTTTCTTTTTTGGCATTGCACCTGGTAAGTGCATAGAATATTTAACAACGTTCTTATTAATTTATATTTATATGTCTTTACATAAGCTTTGCATCCGATACGCTTAACTGTGGGGCTTGAGCAATTAGTCGGATTCGAAAACCTAAGTAACGCTTATTCATTGTCTTGCATTGCCACGGCAATTGCAGTTTTTATCGCATATTTGGTTTTTGCATATATGCGCCTTTGCACTGGAAATTATGTTTACACATTCGCAATATCTGGAATTTGTTTAATTATATCCGGTATACTTAAGACAATAGTAAGAATCATCGTTTGAATAAATTATAAAAAAAATTTATTTTAATACTGTTTTCTTTACGCTCCTTAAACAAAAAAAAGAAATAACTTTTTTGTAATATATTTTTTTGAGCTTTAATAATAAAAGTAAACTCTATAATTAAGTCTTAAAATATCAAATCGTTAAAATGTCCTTAAAGAATGAGCTATTTCGAAACTTTACAACATGGTTTCATTATGTTTACTAATAATAATTAATAACACAATTTTGTAGATCACCCTGTATTCTACGTAGGTTCATAAAAAAATGCAATAGAGCCTTCTGTCGATCTAAATGTCAAAAATTTTTTAATAACACATCCTGTCATTATCTTATTACGGATGATGCACATTTAGCGATCTATAGTTAACTTCTTCAATACACTTCTATTGTCTATTGAAAGTTTTTCTATTCTATTCTAGTCTATCCAATCAATAGACTTTAATTTATAAAAGAAGTGTTTGAAGAACTTTATTTAAATATTCACACTAGGCAATAATAAAGTCCTTGAACTTTTTTGTCTACATTTGCGTATGGATAGTAGCCACTAAGTCTGATCAGGAGAATATCTGCTCAAAAAGTATCCGAAATTTGTTGTTTGTTAACTACTCCTTAAGTAATAGACCTTTTTCAAAAATTGTTTTGTTATGTTGGTACACCCTTTCTTGACGTACAAATTTAAGCGCCATCTGTCAATTAGTTTATTTGTTAGTTTGCTAATATGAGACTATCTCAAGTGAATTTAGCAATTTTTTTTATGGAAAATTCTTGTTGTACACGATTTTTTGAACAAACACGGCACCACTGTCATCGCTCAGGCACCATATTCGCCAGATCTGGTTCCGTGCGACAATTCCCGAAACTGTTCCCGAAACTCAAATTGCCCTTTCGTGGTAAGCGTTTGAGTCGACTGAATCGGTAAAAGAGAACTCGCCGAAGGAACTAAAAGCCATACCTTCACGGGCCTGCGAAAAGTGTGTGGAAGATTGGGTTAAGCGTTGGCATATGTGTATCGCTTCAGAAGGAGCATATTTTGAAAGAGATAATATAAATTTGGAATAAAATTTAAATTTGAGTGTTTTATTTATAATATCCGAGTACTTTTTGAGCAGAAGGTACATTTGCGTACACGTAGAAGCCACTAAGTCTGATCAGTAGAATGTACCAGATTGAAGAGCTATTCGAAGTATATTCGAAGAACTTTCTTAAATATTAATACTCTAGGCATAAAAAAGTCCTTAAGCTTTTTTGTCTACATTTGCGTATGGGTAGTAGCCACTAAGTCTGATCAGGAGAATGTACCAGGTTGAAGAGCTATTTGAAGTATAAAGTGACCGCTGTCCCCATCGATTTAAGATGCGATGCGTTATCTCGCATGTGTGTCATGGGGTCATCAAAATCCAAATTGTTGTTTCAATGCATATTATAAAATTAAAAGTGAGAGAGAAAATAATATGTCGGTTCTAATTTAGTTATGAGAGTCTAGGCTATCTGGTTACTTAGACAAAGCAGTATTGTTTAGTAATAAATGTCAACATTTGTATCTTTTAGTAGCAAATTATTACAATTACTGAGACACTCTGCATAATATCAATTTCGTCATAACCCAAACGAGCCAATTTTGACGAGTCCATGACACTCTACATAACATGATCCCTAGTTGGAAAGCAATTTTTATTCGTAATAGGACTACAATTTTTCTGGTATGTCATTTATCAAACCTATCAATAATGCCTAATACCGTTTCCTACTTATTCATTTTTTTTAAAATTCAATTAAAGTAATATTCATACTATTTTCGGTCAAGGCTTGTGTCGTTGGTTGTTCCTCGAGTAACCAAACGACTTTTGTCTAGGTCAGCGTGTGGTTTAGAGCTTGTAGGGGAGTAATATTTTTTTAAAATATCTGAACTTTGTTGTAAAAAGAAAGTTTATATACTAGGTACATTAGTAGGTGAAGTGAAACGAAGATTCAATCCTTTTCATTTAGCTTAGTAAGCCGTTTTGTTATTATGTTTCACGCAATTCTAGATAGAAAGTTGGTAATATTAGAACTAATCGGACGCATAGATACAAACATATTTCAAAAAATATGCTTAAAATATCTCTGAGTGAAAATATAATAACATTCTGAATATAGACAAAAATTATAGTAATTTCAGTAAGTTTGTATGTCGTATGGAAAACTTTATTAGTGGAATCCGAATTTCATAATTTCACTACAAACAATTTAATATACTTTATGGGATTTGAATACAAAAATAACGTCTATTCACTACTGGAATCCAAGATGAATTTTCATTTCCAAATGACATGTTGTAATCACAATCATGAACACCGCATCGTTGCCAATTCCCTCCTTTTGCTATTGAGAATGCATGAAAACATGAATCTGACATAGGTTTTGGAAATATGATTTGAGCTCCCCTTCTTTCCAGTTACTCAATATGGCTGGTAATAAAGAAAACATTATTCTAGAGATACCGAATACCTCCAATAGGGGAACTATTGCCTTTTTGCTTGATTTCTAAAGAAACATGAGATAACAAACCGCGTCGTCACTACTTAGTAATGTACATTTGGAAGGTTCCTTATTCTTCGTAGATTCATCATCTTTGTCCTTAACTTGACCTTCATTAACAGCAATAACCATAGTGTTAAGTGGTGCTGATATCTTCTTGCTCTTTTGCGACAGTGATCTATAGGTCTCCAATGTATGCGATTGCTTATCTTCCAAATCATATTTGTTTGGTATCTTGTTTGGTACATTTGGAAAACGAAAAGGAACCATAATATTCCTTTTGTTTATTCTTTCAAATGTATTACACTGTATCTGGAATAAGGATATTTTTAATGTTTTGCACATATTTCTCGGTTTCTTTTCCTTATTAAGTTGATTTGATTTATACAACGCTTGATACAGTTTCCAACATTCATCTGGTTTGGTGACGTGATTGATAAGATTCATGATCTCAGCTAACTCTGTCAGAGAAATCATAAATAAATTAAATAAAAAAATTATGAAAAAAAATTTTATGATTGTGTGGCTTTTTTTTTTTTTAGACTTTTTTAAGTAATAGACTAAGTTTAGACTTTTCGACTTCCGAGTTCGATAGTTTTCTTACCTTTCTCAACCGTGCTAAAATTTGGTACAACAGTCGCTTTAGTATTGATTGCGTTTGGAACAAGATCACTTCGTTGGTCTCCAAGGAACATATATTTCAAAGATAACTTCGAGAGATAAGCATCCAATGGTAATGTTCTCGGCTTAATAATTGTCGCGGTATTTTCCCTTAAGGTAAACGGACTTGGACTTGGTTTTTTCTTTTCCTTGGAAAAGCCCAAGACGCTTAAACAATTTAAATGTTTTAAATTTTGTCGAAACATATTTACAGAAATTTACAGAAATCAAAAATATATATAATTTTAAGTTAAATGTGGCCAGAAACTATGAATTTGTAGTTTTCTCATACAAGAAATAAAATGAAATGATTTTTAATATAATATATTTTGTAAGTAAATTCAAAATTTATTATTTCTATTTTAAAAAATAGTGCATGTTGCTTTGTTAAGTAATATACAGGGTAATAGGGAATCTTAGAATTTCCACTAAATTAGTATTTGTCTTCCATAGTTCATAGTTCCATTGCATATAGAAACGATCGAATTTAAATACAAAAATAAACGTCGGGATGTAAGGAATCCGAATTGGAAAGTAATCATATTACTAAATATATCCATACTGTGAAGAGACGTGTGTATGCGAATTAAGTGCAATCATTAGGACAATGTTCTTAAGAACTCAGACTTTCTTATGATACCGAACGTAATATTCTTTATAACGATTTATATATCATGCCACATAAAGAAACAGTTTACAAAACTCACATTTATAAAAACAACAATTTAGTGTGATTTGTGAATTGGAAGTGTATTAAGACTGGATTCTTCTGAAAATGAAAACAGGGTCATTAAAAAAACACCACAAGATAAGATTATGATGATTGGGATTTTTGGGCTTAAATACGATGATTTCAACATAGACGATATGTGGTTTTAAAGGGACAATGGAATATGACATACATTTCGTGAAACTATCTATTCATCAAGAGAAAAGTTTAAGGTCTAATCTGTCCTAAATGCGTTGAGTCACAAAAAACTTCTTGGTCAAGTGACATCAATAAGCGAAAGGAAGTAGTTCAATGTACAGTTAACCTTCTTACTGCTATAATTTGTGCTATTATGATCAACATTTTTCAAAGAGTTGTTTTATGTGCTGTCACATTATATACGTCAATCAAAAATACCAAAAGAAGTGAACAGAAAATATTAAATACTGTTTTGAATTGAGGTAAAATGAATAAGACAATGGCTCAAAACTCAGACTTCAAGTTTTCATGTCCGACTGTATGAGTAGCACAAAAATCAGCTAACTCTTCTACACATTTTCCACTTACTCGAAAGGAGCCAAACATTTTTGTAAAATATTTGATTAATATTCTCATTATAATGACCCTTCACGGTCTGTGATCTATAATATGTATCTTAAAAAACATACCAAACAGTTGATCTTTCCGAGTGTAGTTTCTATATGGTGGTTACTAATACTTTATGCTTACTAAAAAAAGAGTTCACTGAATTTGGAATGTACGTACATCAAGAAGTTGGAGATGTTAATGGATATCTAAACTAAAGGAAGTAAGTTGCTATATATGTATATATATATCTACATATATATACATATGTATATATGTGCATAAAATATATATTTACGTAACCTTAATACTGTGTCCTGAGCTATAAAGTAGTTTAGCCGTCATTTGGTCTACACTATTCTCAGTGAAAAACAACATCGTCCACAGAACAAGTTTACGATATAATTAATTATATGCTATAGAGTCAAATGATAGCGATGCAAACATACTTCTATTGAGATCTAATGAAAATCAACCTAATAAAAAAATTTTTATAAAGTGTTTTCCTTATTTGTCCTTTTCAAATCATTTTTAAGACACATTGAAGACTTATTTCATTGCATTCAGTTTTCCATTCCGACCATGTTTTTCCACAGACTTCTCTTAAAATCTATGCATATGTTACACCTAGTAATGATAGTGAAATACTGTGCTGCATTTCATTATTAAGCTATATCATAGATGGTGGTATCGGTTAGACTAAAAAGACTAAAAAGGTCACGCGTAGATCATTAAGGTCCATTGCGATACCAAATCAGAGTCTTCATTTTTAGCGATAGTGTGCATCGATTAAGATTGCCGTGTTTTTAGCGAATTTAATTAGAATTTCTACAGAAACCTCAGGTTCCAGTCCGTTAAAACTGATTTCGCCAACTATTTTTATGGAGTTCTCGAGAGAACCGGGTAGTAACACAGCAGATGTTTCAGGGTTCCATTTCTATCCGACTCCTTATCATAGATGGTAACACTGTATACACTTCTTTAAAATTCTGAACATTCTAAACATTTCCTCATTATATATGATTACGGGTACACTATTACATATATAAAATTCCTTCTACTATAAGGCAACAAATTTTTCGCAAAATAAAAACAAAAATTTTTATACTTTTTTTTTAATTTTATTTTACTTCATACTTTATACAAAAATTATTTCGGTTTCTCATTTATTACATAGAGTTACATATTTAATACATAATTTATATGCAAATTGCAAATATATATGTATATTTTTGTCGTGATTTTGCTTTTCATTAATTTTCAATTTATTTGCATTTTTCATTTTCATTTTCATATTCATTTTAAATATTTAATTTAATTTTATTTTATTTAATTTTATTTTATTTCATTAATTTTTATTTTATTTTATTTTTTATATATTCTTTCCTTTACTGACTTTAAATTTTTATTCTACAATTTTTATTTTACACGATTTACGGAGTTGGATTCTCTCTGCTTTTGAATTTTAATTTTACGGTCTATTTGCTTTTGATGCCGAATTGCTGAAAAATAAAATTGGTATTTTATTTAATATTATTTCTGTTTTATTTATGTTTCGCTTTTCTTTTATTAAATAAATAAAGTCAATGAATAAAAAATTTATTTTACTTTTAAACAATAAAACGTTTGCGCTTAAATATCAACAATTCGGCCGAGAGTGAGTTGAGTGTTGCCAAATTAAAAAAAGGAGGAAATAGAATATTTCAATAAAAAAGAAACGATTTAAGTCAGAGTTGTTATTTACTCCTGAATTCAGGACAACCAATCAAATAGGCAAAAATTGAAGATTAAAAAAAGGAATTCTAAAGTTGTTCAACTTTCTCATGCCATTCAAAATAAATTTATTTTACGTTTTTTTAAGAACTTTCTTTCTCTTTGAATTATTTTTAAGTTTCGGAATTAATTTATTTTCTTATACATAATTTTTAAATATAAATTTACGTTTTATACCTTGTTTGAAGTTGCCAAATCTGCTGCTTTGATGAGAGCAACAAATTTGTAATTATTTAAATTTTATATAATATATTTAAATAAAAATTAATATATATATATTTATATATTGAATTTAATTTGATTTTTATATATACTTTTTGTACGTCTACTTAAGATTTTTTTTCTACATCTGCTTTTCCCATATTTCAATATACAATAAATTTTCCGATTCTTTTTCCTTTTTTTTTTTTTGAATTGGTTTGCAAAAAAAGTATTTATATATATACCTAAGCACATATGTAATATCTTCAAATACATATATCTATATTTATATGTAATTTTTCAAATTTTTAATGTACATTCATTAAACTTTCTTAATTTAGTTTAAATATTATTTTTTAATTATTTAAGTACGCACACAACTACATAAAATTTTTATTCTTTACGAAAATATGTTTTTCAATGATTTTAGGTTTATATATTATTTAACTTTTATTATTTTTGCAATTCTCCGAAATAAAAAATAAAAATAAAATTAAGTGAACTTAAATTTCGTTTTTGTTTGTGTTTTGTAATTAATTTTGTGTAACAATTGAAAATAATTAAAAAAAATTAAAAAATCAAAAAATTAAAAATTAAAAAAAAACTATTAAAAATAATAATAAAATTAAGTTAACTTAAATTTTTATTTTGTTCATTTTTTGTAATTAATTTTATATAATAATTGAAAATAATTAAAAAAATTTAAAACAGCAAAAAACTATTTTATTTTTTAAATATATTTACCATAATTATATTGATAAAAAAAATATATATATGTAGTTGAAAAATAAAAAAAAAAATATTTAACAATTAAACTAAATAAATAGAAACAAAATTTTTGATTTAATATAATTATATATAAATTACATAAAATTAAAGATTAATTAAAGTTTAATTGAGTTTTCAAATTATGTTTTATGTGAAGTCAATTCTTTGAAAAATACTTGCTTAAAAATATATTAAAATAATTTAATACCATAAAAATAAAAAAAAATATTAATCAAAATTTCAAGTTAACAAATCTTAAGGTTATTAAAAATTAATAAATAAACGTAAATAATTAAAAAAAAAAAATCTACTTATATATTAATTTGCCGTACATATTTATTTTATATTGTCTTTAGCCTTAGCCATTTCTTTTTTTTAAATAACTATTTTATTTTATTTTATTTCAGTTTTTATATATTTTATTTAATGCAACTTAAATTCTTAATTGTAGTATATATTTACTTACTTTCAAAACTGATTTTTGTTTTTTAAGTGAAATTATAAATCATTTTTACTCTTAATCTAAAAATTGAATTAAAATTTACCTTGTATTGATGTTCATATATTTTGTATATATTTTTCTTTTAAATTACATTTAATTAATTAATTAATTTCTTTTTTCTGTTGTAGAATATTTAATACATTTTCTCAAGTATATAATTTTTAAGCCTTACTCAGAAGTTAATTGGATTTATCCGTTCATGTGTTTGACCTGAAATTAAACAAAAAATTTAATATAATTAAATAATTTTAGTAGGAATTTAAAAAATTTTTTTTTTTTATTTTTAAATTATTAATTTAAGATTACTATTTTTTTTCTATGCAGAGGTTTCGAAATTACTTTTTATATAATTTTAATTAATTGAATTTTTGGCTGGCAATACACCATAATTCCCATAACATCAGTGCTATGGGAATTATTTTTTCTATTTAATTATTCGAAAATAATTTTTTTTATTGCATTAATATATTATATATAATATATATTTCTAATGAGGTGTTGTTATTATTATTACGCAATATAAGTTTTTGGCTCTAGACTTATTGGTCTTCTGTCGTCACTCTTATTTCCTATGGTAGTAATTGGTGTCGGTATTATTTCTTTAAGTCATAATAATAGTTACTATTTATATAGGTACTATACTATTCCCATTATTATTAACGGTAATATAGTCGGAATTTTTATAAATAATTATCAAATATAATTTTTTATATATATATATAATATTTCCATTATTACTCTTACTGCATCATTTCAGAATCATTATAAAATATCTCTTATTATATTCCTTCAACAAGTGTCAATTTTACTTGTTCTAAAGCAAAACATTCAAGTAATTCAACTAGGTTTTTTCCAACTTCACGTTTAAGTCTAAACTCACTATTAGTCAGTTTTTAGTACCCAAATTATCTATTTTCTTTAATTTATATAGATAAACTTTCTTTGGTTACATGTGTTATATGATTATCAGTTTATATCTTCCTGACAAATTTATAACTGTCATTAAAGCGTCCAACAGGAAACGGATTTTCATTTAACTTTCTTAATATATTATATAGCTACTAAATCTGCAGTTTTAGCAGTATATATCACTTGATTCGTTATGTATGTTATATGTAGTAGAATCTATTTAATAGTAATAAATTTACAGTTACTATATAATTTTTTAAATTCATATGTTGAGGTTAGTTGAGTCAGTGCACTTGAGCACTTTTACTCTCTGTTAACTACGAGATTTCTTTATAGCCTCTCTCTACGCCTTGACTGGATTATTGTTTATGTCTTCATCTGACCAAGCAATAATTTGCCTCAGATGTGCATATCTCCTCGAGGAGTCTGTAACCATTCTGAGATTCGATACCGCGGTGTTGGTAAATCTGTCAGTTTTCGTAAATAATTTCAGGGCTCTATCTTTTATGTATTTTTTGATCGTAACAATCTTCAGATTCCTGAGAATGTCATTCGTCCTAATGTACCATGGTACCTTGAAAAGTCTTTTGAGAGCCTGACTTTGTGCAATTTCTAGCTGGTGTGTAGTAGCAATTAAGGCTTTGCGGAACGCTACTCATTCATATAGAAGTGACGGTTGAATTATTTGTTTATATAATAGCATCAATAATAATCACTTTCTCTTCTACTGTTTCTTTATATACTCTTCATTATCAGGAAAATAAAATTTCTTACCATTTTTTATTTAATTATTCAGTTTTCGTATCCTTTAACTTCATTTTAATTTTCTTTCGTCAATTTTATTAAAATTCATTTCAAGCATTTTAATTTATAAAGATTTAAAATTACAAAAATGAAAGCAGAACTTACCAGTTAAAGTATGAAGTAGGCGAGTGGCATCCCTTTTCTGTGCCACACCATTTCGATTCTTGCAACGCAGGACACGGACGTCCGCCACGCTTGCCATGCTTAATGACTTTACGATATCGATGCATTTCACCAATGCCGCAAGTCTTGCTGCAGGGCGTCCAATCTGACCAATGGCTTACGCGACAGTCACGCTGACGTTTCGCACGATGACGTTTTGCAATTTTTGACGTTGCCGAGGACGAGGACGTTGATGAGGTTGATGCCGATGCTGATACCGCCTGCGAGCTGCGTTCGTAACTGTTGACAATATTCTGCATGATAGCATTTTTGTCATTTTTTGGCACCATATTTGTGGCGGATATAGCCGAGCCGAGCGCAATGGAGTTATTATTGCTAAAAGCAAAAATAAATATAAATAAATGAGAAGAATTTATATGGAAGCAAATTTAAAAAAGAGATGAAATTGAAATTTGTTCGCTTCATGGCAATTTTGTATGCAATTAATTTTTGCAATATCCATTAACCTATTTTACAATAAATAAAGCAGGAATGGTGTAAGTAGCTGAAACAGAAGCCGAAAGTGGAGCCGAAACTGAAGCTGAAACAGAAGCTGAGGCAGATGCCGAAGCTGGAGCAGAAGCTGAAGTTGATTGCAACCAAATGAGAAACCGCAAACTGTGCCTATAAATTCGTGAAATTGCCTCGCTTACATTCCGCGTACGTTACTTCATATCAGCACAGTTGAAATGTGCATAAAATTAAATTTTTTTTTTTTGATTTGCTGCTCATATGCTTACCGCTACCACCCTCAACTGTTTCTGTGTCCTTACCGTCAACTTGCGGTTTAATGAATATTTTGTTTTCTTTCCCCATTTCAATTTCTGGTATATCTTTTGTTATTTTAAAGGTTTTTCGGTGGCGCAGTGTTACGCGACAAGGACATGAATTTAATGGAAAACGTGTCACTTCACACATTGCCAGGCAGGCAGTGGCGGTTTTTTAGTTTTTAAATTCGCAATAATTTCGCTTCAATTGTAGTTTAGGTGGCTGGCTTTATTTCCATCCCCTAAAAGTATGCTACACTCTGCCACTGTATAACAGTTTGGCAGCAATTGTATTTGCAACCATAAGACAATTTCAATTTAAATTTGCATTTTGAATTTTCATGTTCATTTTCATTTTCATTTTCCATTTACTGCCTTTTATCAAATGCACATATATATATATATGCACACATACATATATATGCACATATACATACATATGCACACATGTATATATACATCATATGCGAGTTTAGCCTTTAATGTACGAGTATGTGAAACATACTCAAGATACACCCACACACATACACACACCAGCGGTACACTGTTAAAATAAACACAACAGGCGCCAAGGCAATGCGACGGAAAAGGAATTAAGCAAAAGTAATAAAAACTCAAGTAAATTGCGGAAAATATTAAAAACGTGTGAAAGCACAAACAAACAATAAAAATTCATTTTCAGTTTCTACTACACGACACTCACTAAATAACCAGTCTGGCAACGCCACCCCGCCCGAAACGAATCTACAACATCGATTACCAAATTTGGTGCTAATTTCAGGACGTTGTGTTGTTGGTGTTGCCAGGCGAAAATCAATAAAAAAACATTTTGGCAAATTACGTGGAAGTAAATTTGAAATCAAAGCGATGCGCACATAAAAGTAATTTTGGAAGTTATTAGCGTAAAAATTGGTTTGACAATTTCATTTCTTTTTCCCCTTCCCCCTCAACCGAGCGAACCTTCACATTTTATTTCGTTTAACACATTGTAATCGAACTCCAGTAATTACTGTGAGGAGTCGGGATGCTAACAAAGTAAACTGAAGTTTGGTGCCTTCGAAAGGTGGCAACTTTGTTGATAGTTGGCCTTAGCAGTTAGATATATTAAAGGGGAGTGGGGGTTAACGATTGCTGGCTGGGCGATATACAGTAAGCTATGAGCAATATTCGTGTAATTTATAGAATTATGTCTTTAATAAGATACATGGTTAGGTTATATATATTAAATACATAATATAATATATAAAATGAAAAATATAAAATAGGTAGAAAGGCAGGCAAAGTATTTACAGATATAAAAAGATCTACGGAACTTAGTAAGGATACTAACTAAATAAGTTGTTTGGAAATGATGCCACGTTTGATCAGATATTAGAAAAACAGACTTTAAATAAAAACTCGGGAATGAAGCAACAAAATACCAACTACACACACAACAGCGAGGGACAGAGCTGAATTGCTAGAGAAAGAAACCTTGATTTTGTTAGGACCCGACATAGACTATTATTACCACTAATAAGGATAATAATCAGATGTAGTTTAATTAAAGATAAACTCAATCATGTAGTGCCTCATTATACAATGTTAACTGTCGTGCTGCTTTGTGAGCGTGTCGAAGCCAGGGTTGTGAGAAAGTAAGGATATACTTAGGAAACATTTTTCTTAGCAGTGTTTTTGCAACGTATTATCTCTAGATTCTATTGTCAAGACGGTGGATGCTATCGGAAAGGGGTTAAAATATTCCCGAGATGAAGCATATCTAACGTAATAACGTAAAAGGCATCTGAAATCCAGTAGGCAACACCAGATACTGTTTGGAGTAAAAAAAGTTGTGAGTGAGTTTCTTTAGAGTTTACGTTTTCGGTTTTCCTGACTAATTGAGGTTGATTTTATTACAATGATGATGGTTATATTGTAAATATGATTATATGCCTGCATTCATTTTACTCCATGTCGGATCGGAACTATGCTCGAAAGAATGGCAGAGGTGTTAGAGTTTATTGGCATCACTTTGTCCCAAAGAGAAACTATAACCAAACGTATAGCTTCAATTGTTGCATTATCGCTTATCCTTGCATACTGATACGTGTGCAAAGAACACCATGGTATTAAGTTTTAATGGCAGGCAATTATATTAAAGAATTATGGGATCTGTCAAGGCGGTGGATCTACTCCTAATTTCCTCCTGGATAAGCCATTCCGGTGCCTCCAGTTTCATTGCATTGCTGATAAGTTGGATAGTTGTTTGCAGTTTTGCAGTATGTCCGGTTGGCAATAGCTAGTTCGAAACAAACTGAGTTGCGAACTTTGTCAAGCATTTATAACGACTAGTCGTGGTTGTGGTCCTGAAGGTCATAAAAGATTTTGTATCCAGACTTTATTACGAATACGTTGGATAGTGAGAGAGCATATGTGATGTAGTTTCTTACAACTTCCCACCGCTGCGGTAAGAATCATGGACAAAAATCCATGGAAGCATGGTGGCATTGCACTTTTCATTTCGTAAGCAGATAAGTAAGAATTTACTTTATCCTGGAATCTAAAGCTCCATACTAACTTCGTTGTATCCAATAGTTTACAAATGAGTTAAGTAAATCAGGAGATGGTCTTTACTCATTGAAAATAGTAAGTTTTCTGAAGTAAAAATTTCTATTTCTTTTTAAATATAAATAATAATATTTCACAACAAAATGATAAAATAATTTTTTTATAAGTAAATAATTTTATTGAATCATTTTATATAAATTAATTTAGGAATTTTTAACTGATAACTGAAATGTACTCAACGTACTGTGTCTGGCTGATATGTAATCAGTAATTTACATGAATTAAAAATCAATTATTTTTTATCAATATCTGATTTTTAATACGATTATAACTGCAATGAGATATAATTTTTTGTATATTGTATACGTACAGATACATGAAGAATATATTAATGTATATTTGTGACAAAATTTGTTACAAAAAAACTATTTTTTGCATTAATTGTATACAATTTAATTGGTATTACGTGTCTAAAATATCTATTTCAAATTATTTATGATTTTTTAACATTTATAATATAATAAGGAAAAGCTGAACAATATTATGTATTATTTTGATTATTGTGTGATATACAAAAATTTGTAATATTATACTAAATATAATATAATAGAAAATAATAATGCACTAATTTATTAAACATATGATATAAAACATATTTGTTTTATAAATTGTATGAAAAGGGTTAACACTAAAAAGATTTTACTAAAAAAAATTAAGATATAATTGATCCACTGGTAGTAAAAGCTAGTTAAAAAATCAATTAATTAAAAATGAATTTTTGCAATAGCATTTCCTTACTATTAACCCTTTATGTACAATATATTAAAAAAACATATTTTATACGGCACAAACCAAATTAATTAGCGCATAAGGTAGACATATGATAGATAATTATATATTAATATATAATGGTTAAGGTAGTAGCCTTTTTACAAATTTAAACCAACAAAGAGGGGACGAACTGTCCAAATTCAGTAAAGTTGTCGTGTGAATACCCAATTCATTTTCTTAAATGAACTTTTATAAAAAAGTTTTTTTTTATTTAATAATATTAACTTTATTTTTCGAATTATTTAAATATTTCGGGTATAATATATATTTTTTCTAAATTTATTTATTTATTAGAATGTATTCAATTTAAAAATCAATCGTTTTTTGTTTTTAAAAATTAGATCTTTAACTTTTTTATTTAACTTATAGCTTAAATAAACTTTTTTAACACTAATTCAAATAAATTTATTTATCTATAATATATTTAGAATATATAAATATTGGTTGCAATAACACATATTAATTATAAGCACATATATATGTATTTGCTCTTGTCCACTTCTCATATATTGTTATTAATCCCTATAGTTTACTTCTTAGGTGAATTTATATCATTTTCATAAAATAGTGCAGCAGAGTATTTCTTCTTGTGGTCTAACATATACTCCAGCCGCTGGCTGTTGTGCGCCTACATAAACTCCGGCTGGTTGTGCTGCACCAACAACTAAAGGTGGCGCTGCAGCACCTATAACTACTGCCGGTGGAGGTGGTGCTCCAATGATCACAGCTGGTGGTCGTGGTGGTCCAATTATTACTGCTGGGGGCGGTGGTGGTCGTGCGCCAATATTAATATTAACCTGTGCTCCTCCTCTTGGTGGTGGGCCACCCCAACCTCTTCCTGGTGGTGGCATAATATATCTTAACTGATAAACTTTAAGTTGAAAGTAAACGCTTTATACGTCTTAAGAATTGTACCGATCGTTTCGAAATATTCAAGCAAACTAAATTGATTTATAAAACTGTCCAAAACTGTCATACTGAATATGGGTCCGTCAACATCAATCAATTTGTAATTATGGTTGGATCACATAGCTCTGGTATGTGAATTGAATAAGTGAATTAACGTAAAAGCTGATGATATCGAATTTATCTTATCAATGAGTTTGTCAGAGTAGGTGCTTCCCACATGTTATTGTTAGTAATTTTGAAAATTATTACAATATAATAGATATAATTCGATAACGTATAAGTTTTAAAACTGAATATGAGTAAAATTCAATATTGATAATAAATTAATAAAATGAAATGATTAGGGAATAATGTAATATAATAATTTTTGATATTTTTTTTTTCTTCCATCTTAATAATCTTGCATTATTACTTTTATTATTATTATTATTTTCTTGGTACATTTTCAATGTATTTATCTGCAATACATTAGGTAAAGACACCGCTCTTAGTGAGAGCATAAAGCGGAGACGAAGGTCTTCCATAATTGTCTCTTATGAGCCTTCTGCTGGATTTCGTTCCATAAACCAAACTGTCGACGTTCAGCGTGTATAGAGCGCAGCCAAGTGACTCGTTTGCAGCCAGGCCTACGCGACAATAGACAATAGAACCAATAGAACCTGAAGTTTTATTGGTACATTTTCGAATATGGTGATACGGTGTTTAAGATTAACCGTGGTCAGAAAATTTTAAGTGTACGACGAAGACATTTATTGACAATTACTTGCAGTTTCTGTCGGATGCATTCTGTGACTTTCAACGTTTCAGATCCATATAGAAGGATTGATTTGATGCTAGTCTTAAAGATTTTCAACTTAGTGAGATATGAGATAAAGTTTGAGAACCAGATTTTCTTCATTTTGAAAAATGGATGATGGACTTTACCAATGCGAGGTAAAGCACCCATGTCGGCAGAAACTACAGAAACTATCTTGTATTATATTCTAAGTTGACTAAACATGTTCATACAGTGCCGTTTATATAGCCTGGGCTTTTTAAAACTAATTCAAAGTTCATATGAAAATATTTCATTTCAAAAAAATTCTTATCGAGTATAAAATGGTTTAAACTCAAGAGCTATAAGAAAATAAAATTTGAAACCGTTGACCTATAAATCAAATAAATACGACATAATACCTACGATAGTTGTTATTACTATATACCTAAAATAATTTTATTTTGTCAACATTTTTGGTTTGATTGGTTATATTTCTTTAAAGAATATCAAAAATAAAATGTTTGTGAATATTGATATGGATATAATTGTTTTTCATATTCAAAAATTTAAAGTTTTTAAAGTTTCCCAAAATAAATTTATTTAACTTGAGTTAACTGTCACGAAGAGAATTTTTGAGAAAAAGTGTTACCTAAATTATGACCAAAATAAGAGAAGTTCATTCTTACTCTTTCATTATATATAGTAGCTTTATTATGTCTTCAATTTTGCTCTTAGTCATTTGCTCTCTTCGTCACTTGTTCTTGTCTTCACTTATTCTTCTCGTCACTTGTCCTTTTCGTCATTTAACCCTCTCATCACTTGTCTCTTTCGTCATTCATCCTCCCCGTCTTTTGTCCTTCTAGTCACTTGTCCTCCTTGTTACTCTTCCACTTCGTCAGTTGTCCTCTTTACTCAACCTCTCATTCGTCATTTGTCCGATCCGTCACCTGTCCTTTTCGTCCTTTTCGTCACTTTCGCACTTATTATAATTTAGTCCTTATTTTCACTGACTTTATTAGGATAGATTTTCATATATCTACGTCTCATGCCTGGGGCATCATAATCGTCAATATCATTTACTTCAGGAGGATTACCCCCATCTGCACCATCAGTTGATTCTTGATCTATATGTAAACCAAGTTCATCGTAGAAAGAGGGATCCACCTCAATATCAACAACTTCAACAGTTAGAGGCAGATCCCGCTTTTCGATATCATCACTTTCTATATCATCATATTGCTTGGTAACCTCAGAATCCGTATCCAAAATATTGCCGTCAGTGGCAGCACTAATTAAACTTGATGTTGTACTTATTAATCGCTTCTGTATCGCACTACAGGCAATTTTTTTTATTACTTTGCCGAAATGATTCATCTCTAATGTTCTTATTTACAAAAATTTGAATTTTTTCCGGACCAGAATTAAAACTCACTCTTAGTGAAATATATTTCATATGAAATTCGAATTTTTAAAGCAATAAATTTTTTAACATTTCATGTATGATAATTTCAAAGCCAACTTAATATATTTAAATCATTGCCTATAAGCTTTTACTGATAGATTAATGACGATTGACAAATCTATATTTGTAATATAAGCGAATCTTGAGTGAATCTTCTCGTTGTCCTGATATCTGATATCAGATAGCGTTAGGAACCTTCATTTTGACAAAAATTAAAATGAATCATGCTGTACCAAAGAATATGATGGAAGATCTTATATGCTGTTAAGCAGAGTTTAAAAACAGACTTGTCTTATAGGGTTGGTCATGCAGACCATGGAGATCTCTCAGATAACTTACTTAAAGATCAGAACCACAGCTTAATTCTTTTGAGAATTGATTAAACAAGATAGCATAATTCGTGATAAAAATGTTAGAACTTGTTCGGAAGGTAAGTCATATTACTAGAGGAAGAGGAGGATACAACCATAGAGAAGCCATTACTTGGCAAAGAGGAGACCAACTTCCAAACTATAGATGCAAAAACTAATGTCAACTGACTGCGCCGTACCTGATACAGTTATGGAAGAAATATTGTTAGATTTCTGGGATTAGAGTGGATGTGACTGTACTTACTAAGAACGGTAACTTTATATATTCTTGATTTTAAACTTCCAGAGGAATAATACATTCTATATTATTTAAATTTCAAACATAAATATTTAGATTTAAAAAAACAAAAACAACTTTTATTTAAATATATTCTTACTTTCATATTTTTTTGCTCATAAGCTATAGAATATCTTTTATGTATCTATATAAAATCTATATAAAATTATTTATTTCACTTCTCAGAACCTTGTACATTTTTCTTCTCAATTGTACAAATAAAGTTTTGTGACTTTTTAAGAAATCCTTATTAATTCATCTATTCACTTTAAATATAGATTAATGCAATTCCAATCAAGTTTGTTGAAAATACTTTCAAATAGCAGTGTAAAATATTATGATATTACACAGTTCTTTTTGTCAGAGTCTTCTTTATTATTGTTTTCATCGCCTTTTATGTTTTTTTTCTCTAAGCCTTCTATATTCTTTTTCTTAGTGCTATCAACATTCTTCTTTCCAGAGTTTGGTATTTGTTTTTTCTCAGAGCCTTGTACATTTCTCATCTCAGAAGCTTGTGTATTCTTCTTTTTAGAACCTTCTAGATTTTTCTTTTCAGCGCCTTGTACATTATTCTTCCCAGAAGCTTGTGCATTCTTCTTTACAGAACCTTCTATATTATTCTCCTCAGAGCCTTGCACAGTGTGGTTGTTCGACCGTTGTGCATTCTTTTGCTTAGAGTCATCTACATTCGACTTCTCAGAACTTTGTATGTTCCTCTTTTTAGTGCCCCCGTTATTCTTTTTCTCAGTGTCTTGTAGATTTAGAGTCTTGTTAGAACCTTGTACTTTTTTCTTTCTATTATTATCGGTTCGATCGGTTTGTGTGTTAACAGCTGATGCAGCTATTACTGCTGGCATAATATTGACATTCGATGTCTTACAATTCGAATTATGCGTTGGTTTATGATGAACTTGATTGTGACTATGGTGCACTACATGATGATGCACAGTACTTGTTGATGTAGAACAGTGATGAACCATGATTTTAATATTAATTAAATTTTTTTCTTTGTAAATTTCTCACTTCTATACTTTATAAAGTAACTATTTAGACAACTGCTAACAAAAAATATTCAAAAGCACTGAACAGCAAATATTTTTATATGAAAAACACAAATGCACGTATCAGTAGCAAAATACGTCTTTAAGTAATTGATGGTCACTGATAAGATAATAAATTCAATAAAATTTATTTTAAACAAAACACTAATTAATGTAAATATTATTAATAATAAATATAAAAATATTATTATGAGTAATGAGTACAATGATCAATTCAAAACATATACTTTATATACCCCTTATGGAGTAGCTTATCAGAGCATAAATAATAACGTATATAAGAGCGTAAATAAGTACGTCACATTTATGCTTTACTTACTTTGGATTCATTTTGGCTAATAGCTTTGATCGTATTTTATCGCGTTCTGATATCGAAGTTGGCTTTGGTGAAATCTCGTTTTGTCGCTCACGTTCAATGCTTGCCGATAATTCATTATTCATTTCAACGTGATTGTGTTCCGTTTCTAAATGGGTTTGTGTCTTTACTGTTTCATATTTACGATCATCTTCGGCAAAATTGAAAACTTCGCTTAATTCGTATTCTTTTAACTGAAATAAGTTAAAATAAAAAATTATTATTATATATTTAATTAATAATTGAATTAATTATTGATTTAATTAATTAATTGATTTAATAATTAATTAATTATTTAATTATATAATTTTTCTTTTTTTTAAAAAAAATAATTAACTATTGAAAATTTTAAATTCCCATTCTGAAGGTAAATGGAATTTGAATAAAAAACATATTTTAAGCTTCTTCCACACTGGACCATTTCAAGTATCTACTTTTATTTGCAATGCAACAAAATAAACGCCATATTTTTACCACGACCTCAAAGTTATTATATAGGCATTTTAATAATTTCTGCTCTTATCACACTCTTATCAGTTAAATAGCTATGAAACATCTACTCTGTTTTTATTCGGCTCTCTCAAAATCTTATTTTAAAATTTTGGGTGCTACTAGTTAGATTCTATATCTAATAAGTTGAACTATCTTTCAAACTTTTAATAGGGTCAACTGAAAAGTATATGTGAATAGACTCAGTTCTTGAAATGTGATTGTAATTTATAGAACATGTCATAATTATAATAATAATCTTTTAAACTTTGCAAATAAGACACAATCTATACTTTACATAGTGTTCATTGGTTTTAGCTACCTTCAGAGACTCTGATCCGGTGTCGCTATGTATCTATTCAGACTCTGCGTGTTCTTAGGCAGCCATGTCTTTTTTCAAAATGTCTGCAATCGACTACGACATTTTGTACCTTGAAGATTCCTTGGCAATATTATCAGTACCTTGTACATTTTATCATAAATATTTTATCATAAATAGTACTTGGCAACACACGAAATAACTTTGTATGGTCAGCCAAATTTCAATAAATTAATCAAATTTTTGTGGTTGTTATTTCTTCATTACTCTTCGAACCCTTTTCATAGAAATTTTTGCTAAACGAAGCGCGAATAATTTATTAAACGATCATCTATATTTCGATCAACAATGAAATCTAATAAATAGAAATGGATTCTTTATTACATTACACTTATCTTAACAAGCTATATATTACCGATTTTTAAAGCTAAAAAAAACATTTTGGATCACAAAATGATTTTAAATATGATTTTATTTTACCTAGTCAGTTTATCTGAAAAAAAATGTAGGTTGTTGTCGACGAGTAATAATGTGAGTCTGAACTGGATTTGGGCAAAGATGTAGTCCCACATATTTTCTTAACATACTATTGGGGAGTTGATCCTAACATTGAAAATCTAAATTTCGATGAAATATGTTATGACGAAATATTCCGTAGTAGCTGCCTTCGCAGATTGGTCACCCCGGCAGTTCATTGCAAAGTACAGAATTTTAGAATTATCTCTTTGGTCTCCATAAGTTAACTAGTTTTGACTGCCGTGATTTAAGCACTTAAGTCCTTAGACATGTGAGAATATACTCCATGAAGAAAAATGGTAGGATGCATACTTTTTACGTAGATATCTGCTTAACAAGAGTCTTATATATGAACAATTTTTCTCAAATCAGGAAAAAATTTTTTCTCTGTTGGTTTGGCACCTCACTCGAAAACAAAAGTTGGCTGATATATGGGAACTTACTGCTTGATGACTTTTAATATAGACGCTATGAATGAACAATTTTTTTTAAATTATATTTTCTTATTATTATTTGAAACAATCTAAAATCTTTTGGTTGAACACTTTAATTGAAAGTATAAAAGTTGGTTGAAGCTGAAGGTCCACGCAAGAGATTTTCAACTTTACTAGCTTTTTCTATGAGAATATTAAGATGTGAATACTTGTTATTTTTAATATTCTTCGATAAATAAACTTAAATAAGACTTAAACCTGAAATATTGTATTGTAACCGAAAGACTCTAAGATTCTGTTGGTAATCCTTTGAAAGAAATACTTTTAAGTTACTACATTTGGTTAAGAAGAGTGAAAATTATTTATAAGTGCAGCTCACAGTTTTTCATGTTTAAAAACATTTTTCTTACTCCGTTCAGTATAACAAATTCCGAGCGTTCCGAGTACAAACTTAAAGTTAAATCTCACAAAAGTTCTGCTTTTGAACTTCAGCATGCCAACACTGGATTTATAAAAGATGGCAACGCTTTGTCACGCTGTGGCATTTTAATTTATTTATTTTCGACTTAAGTTGTTAACCGCATTGTTACGATTGTTGCTTTGTTGCTGTTTTGTTGTTACGTTCTTACGTTGTACGTAGAGGTTTACCTTAAGCATTGTTACGTCTCTTTAAGCGCGCCGTTGTTTTCCACCATGTTGCCATCTCTTTCCACTTGTGTTCGTACTCTCATTGGCATTAAAAGACATAATACCGAAGAAAACTGTGAAATTCCTTGTGGATTACACGCACGAGAAATTCCTTTCCGCAGAGATTAAATGCAATCGGAATGTGTAAATGAGGTGCGTCTACATTCGTCGTCGGTTCGAGCTTAACTTGCAAAACTCATGTGTAAACGGAGCAGGGGTAAACTTTAGTTTAAGTGAAAAATGTAGTTGGGAATTAAATGCTTTGAATGTCAATTGGCATTAAAAGGTTTTTTCTCAAGTTAAATATTTTTTAATTCAAATAAAAAATAAATTCATTAAGTGAACTAAAAAATGTTGGAACTGAAAATGTTAATAGAAAAATAATTTCTGCAACGAGTTCAGGTAGCTAAGACTAATTAATTCAGAATTATGTAAATCTTGTATATACATAAGGTTGGAGTGACAGCTTTATGCACAAAGCCTACTTGAGTTCAAATAATGGCCGGATGCAATACCACGCAATAGTGCTCTTCGCAGATCACAAAGATTTCCGGAAGAACCGTAGTAGAAAGCTTGCAAGTAACGCTGAGGGGCACGCCTCCTGCAATGATGTGGAAATGATCCCTTACCTGATACAGCTGTAAACGTGGCCAAGTTCTTAATATATCAGTTTGATAGCTATGTAAGCCCAGTTAGAAAAGAGTATCCACAGATTATTAATTTCTTGAAGCCAATGATGGACACTAACACATGAGGTGAATTATAGTCAAGTCGGTAAGAAAAAAACCACAAAAATTTTTAAACTTCCCCAAGCCAATGATGTACATAAAGTGAAATACAATTCACTCTTCATTCATAGAGCCATAACCCCCACAAAATTAATTATAGAGTAGACCCAGTCTTATAGCATGTGTTTTTAATATGTAGTAACCCAGTTAACTTTGATACCATAGTACTAAACAGGTAACGCCTAAGTTAAAGCAGGACTAGTACGGTTTTTGTCCAGCTTGAACCAGCTCGATCTGAAGATCTGCCTAAATTTATTTAGCTATAATCATAGATATTCTTGCCTGATTGTCAGTAAGGCTGTTACAAGTAGTAATATTGGTAACCATATTCAAAAAATAAGTGTCAGAGACTAGAGTGCTTGCATTAGCAAACTCATCTGCCATGGAGATGTTCCTGTATCCAAGCACACATGTAAGTTGAGAACACATAATATGTAATATTATTATTATATTAATATCTTTTATCAAAATTCCATTTGTTCTAAAATTCAGAAACGGTATTATAAAGTCTGGAATCGGGTCTTTCAAAATAACAATTGAGAAAAAAATGTTATAACTTCGGAAGATCATTTTACTAAAATAAGTAAAGGATAAGTCTTTAAAATTAAAAAAAAAACCAATTGTGAATTTGAAAAATATTAAATATATAGTGGACATTTTGAATCTCTTTAAATATTCATACGATATTCTTAAGAGTGCTATAGGAAGACTGTAAAACTAATATGGCAATTCTTTATATGAGTCTCTGCATAACCTGGCCGTACGTGTGACTATCTACGGCGCAATATATTTCTAATATAACTGAGTGAACATTGAACTAAAAAATTTAGTTCAATGTTCTGTATAGGTCTATGTATGAAGTTAGTATTCTCCAGGACTTTTACTCCGTTGTTTTTTTGTGGTTACTTCTTGAGTATCATCGGGTCCCTTAGAGTTTCTGTAGTATTATTTTTTATCATGGTTCTCTCCGTTCGTATTATGAGGCTTTATTATTTTCTTTTAGAAAGTTTCTTTGGGTCTTTAGTATATCCAATGAAGTATTGTTACGTTCATTAAACCACAACCAAATATCTTAAAAGGATATTTTAATGTGCGAGTAATCGCAATATTTTTGATACGCTGATCTACAGTTGTTTTTGTATCTATAATCTTTAATTGCTGTGTTAACATCATAAGGTTTATCTAGTGAATTCATAATCATCACATACATTGCAATAAAAAATTTTGATTGTAGTAAACATTTATATTTTTAATTTTTTTACCTCATTAAATCGAAAACTCTGTCATTCAATACAAAACGTTTCACTTTCCGATCACTACAAATTTTGATCTCCTTATATTTTATAAAATTTTTAGAGCAGTATCAAAATTTTTAGCGAAGAGTATATATTTTGGTCAAATATGTCAATTAAAAATTTGTATAATATTGCGTGGGCAATGACGTCACCTCATATACAGGATAATATATCAGCTAATCTGCAGGATATGCAAAATAAGATAGAAGCTTTGAAGCGCGAATCGAATAAAAATAAAAATTTTGCCGAAGTAACCATCCCTCGTAATCAATCTGGTAACTTAAAAACTTTATTTCAAGAAAAATTTGGTGGCATAACTAATTCAATTGCAGATAATCCTCAATTTGATGTGGAGAAAACTGCATTAATGGCAAGCGCAACTGTTGAAGTTTCGGAACAACCAGGATCATTTAGTCCAAACATGGGTTTATCAAAATCAAACCGGGGGATGAATCGCAATTTTGGCCAGTAAAAACCAAAATTTTTGGTGCAACAAACTAAGAATTTTGCCAAAATTGCTTTTAAAGATGTTTCTTATCGGTTGCTTATTAAACTATATAGACTGGCTGCAGAGAAGAAACTAGTTTTGGCATGTTAAGACATGGGAGTGTGATTGTAGTTTCAAGGATATTCAAAATAATTCTCCAGTTCTTGGTTTAGCTGTAGCAGTCATTTAGAAAAACCTGGTTAAATGTTACATCCTGCCTTAATGAGAAATGTATTCTAACAATCAAATGAAAGCTTTCCAATGGAGCTGAAACTGTATGCAACATGATAGTGGTCTGAAAATCAGAAGAATAAGATGGGTAGGTTATCTTTTTGTTGCATGACCGTTAGAATTTCACTTTGACACTTAAATTCAAAGTTTCTAATGGATTTTTCAAATTTTATTTTGGAGTCGCATAAAATAAAGTTAAACATTTCTACCGAAATTAGAAATAGTTTTTATATGCATAGATGTATTTTTAGAATACGTCTAAATTTTTTTTGCTAAGACAATCTGAAACAATCGGGCTACTAATCTAAGACAATTGGGCTACTAACAATGACTTCTAAGAAGACCGATTAGAATTTTTAAATTCTCTCTGCTCTGATTTGCCTAAGTCTATAGAAATCTGTTAGAAATTATTAAAATTCTGCTCAAAGTAAGGAATCTGTCAGAGAATATTAAATCTCTTATTAGGTTTTCTAACAGGTTACTGTAATCTCAGATATCTGAATAAAATAGGCTTTCAGAGATAAGTATATGCCGGGTTTAAGAAACGTCTGAATTTCCTAACTTGAGCAATGGTGAACTTAAATATTTATGTGATAGTCTTATTCCTCTTATGAAACAATCAAAGCTGTTCAAGTTTCATAAAAGAAAGCCTATAGATTTGATGAAGCAATTAGAGTTAGCAGGATAGACTAAGTCACCGAATAATAATAATAATTATAAGAATTAGTTACTATAATAATAATAGTAATGTATACTATTGAACAAATTTATGTATTTTTATTGAAGAAGGCAGCAGTTATTTTACTTTAAAGAACGATCATAAAAAATTAGTATGTTCTACAGAAAATATTATGCAGGATTTTAAAGTATCGATGTATGATAGAATAGAAATAAATAGGGTATCAGCTCAAAACGGAGCGGAGCACTGCGACCACAGTTAATCTTTTGTGCTGATCGATGTATGATAACTCAAGCCAAAAAAATTTACGAAAATTTTGAGTATAATCTACCAAAAATGTGATTAAAAACTTTCAAAAAATTCAACTTTGATCAATAATAGTTTTGGAACCCATACTATAAATAGAAAAATATGTTATGTACCAAATTTAAAGAGATTTAGTTATATTCTCTGTTACTATCCAGGTTTAATGTGGTTCAGAAAGTGCTAGGTCATGAGTTCCTAACCCCCATCCGAAGTAGGAATGTCTTCAACTACTGTCATTTGAGCTTTTATTCAGAAGCCGGTTTGTCTTCTGCTCAATAAATATAGATAATTATTATAGAAGATCTATGATGGTAGCAGTGTTCTGCTACCAAAGATCGAGTTTCCCGTTGATTTCTATTCTAGTGGATTTATAATCGGGATATGTATTTTGCTATTCGGAAGAACCATTTGTTAAGCTTATAGAAGTAGCTTTTGAATATACTTTTTCCGATATCTTGTGTCTTAATAAATATTATTAATAGTTTTCTGCTCATATACAATTTTCTTTACTACCAATTAGTCTATTATTAAATATGAGGATTCCCAAGTTTTTTGTTACAATTTTCATACTTAACGAAACTGCAATCTAGTATAGCATTATATTTTCATCTGAATGAAAGTTCGAAGTCTTTTGTTTTTAATAATTTCAGACATACAATATTTAAACACTGTTTATCTTAAATTTTATTCAAAGGATATTCTATCGAAATGCTTTAATATTTCAATCAAATAAAATTTACTTTCATTTCACTTGACCACACCGCAGTAACGCCTTGCCGGGGCAGGAGCAGTAAATGCTAAAAGGCTTTTGTATGCGTTTATACGAGCAGATTAAGCACGCATCATAAACAGTGCAGAATGGCTGGCATTAAGTGTCCACCTACAAATCCTTAACAGTAAAATACACGTACAGGACTGTCAGTTCAACATAGCATGTTTGCTATAATATATATACTAAACATATATACTTACATATATACATGTATGTATGTATGTATTTTAGAAACATTTATGTATAATAAATATTGTATTTGTATATGAACAATTCGCATGTGTTTGTGCATTAGCTAAAGCAAGGCAATTTAATGGTAAGGACCATTGTAATTATACAAACGCCTTCAATTTCTATTTTATGAGTCGAAGGAGGAAACGAGAATGTGTGCTTCTGGAAATAAAAATGCGTATATAATTTCCGTAAAGCGTATAGGAAACACAGTCCAATATAATAAGTACGACCGAGTCAACATGAAATTTTACTTCTGTTTTGAATAACTGTAAATGTTGGAATAACAACAACAACAACCACAACAATGTAGGGACTAGAATAGGCAGTAATAGAAGCAACCATGGCTATACTCGTAAAATGTTAGTCCTTTTAGTCATTACACTTTATTTTTGTGGTTACCGCCTCTTCATATTAAACACACTTTATTCCGATTTTATATATAACATTTTTATTGCAGATGTTCAAATTGTATTAAATTATATATTGTACAATTTACTCCTTTTTTAATAATATCGCTATAAATGTTTATGATATAAGGAAATTATTTAGTACTTTAATATACACCTTAAATTTTATTTTATACTCTTTAAATAAATAACTGTAAGAAGGAGTCTAGCAGGTTTGTCAAAATTTTACAGAAACATCGTAGAGCTCATAAAGTATATATATTTCTAAATGAAATATAAATGAATGAAATAAATAAAAAATGAGTAAAAAAAAACAAAAAAATAATAAAGCGAACAAATTCTTTCAAAAGGAATATATATATATATAAGAGCAAAATCCAACAGAAAACTGCCTGAAAAAGTTTTTAAAGCTATCTGTCCCATTGTAATACTCGAGCAGGCAAGGGTTAGAATATTGCCGTGGCAAGGCATGTGTGATGTAAAAGACAACTAGAATCCATCAGGCACCGCCCTATACCATATGAGGTATATATGGTAGTGAATAAGTTTCAATTATGGCACACAACCGGGGCTGTAAATCTAGTCCAGTCTTACAACTTTGGCTGTCCTGATCAATTGAGGTTGACCAATTGAGGTTGGCTGTGGTTAAAATCTAAAGCTACTTGGGTAGAATGACTGAATTCAATTACTTTTATTCGACGTGCAATTGCATTTTACAAACGGGAGAACCCCAAAGAACAGAAGAGGTATTAGATGGTCCTCGCTTTCTCTCAATTTGGAACCTGTATCCTAATAGCTATTTCAAATCATTTCTATATCTATATAAAAAATTAATTAATACCCGCAAAATTCCTTTCAATTGCAATGGAAGTACTTATTGTTGCATTATACTTATGTGTATATTAAAAACACTGTGGCGTCGAGCCTTAATAGAAAATAGTCACTTTAAAAGGCTATGGACTCAGGTTCGATATTCCGTAAAAAAATTGATTCGATTTTGATTTCAGTGAAAAAGCTCTACAGTTATTAGCTAATATTAATCTATGCCTCGAAACTTGTTCATAAGAAGCCATTGTTGTATTTTGAAACTACGTTTTGGAGGTGTCTGAAGAAGATTGAAAAAAATAATTTGACAAATGGTTCGAAGGTATACAGATGTGTATCAAACATACTTCTTTACGACCTTTTATAATACTTCGAGAAACAATAAAATAATTTTCAAGTACAAGTAAATATTTTTTCATTATAAGGCTCAAAATATATAAATAGTGACCCTCATTATCTGAACACATATTTATAGCGAAAATTTGGATATGGAGCTTATAACTTAAGCTTGGTCTCCAATGACAAAAAAAAAATATCCCTACCCAATGTATAGTTAAAGAAGTCTATGAGGATGAGTATTGAGGAAACACTATATGATTCTATGTTTAGGAGCCTTCATTTCGAAGTTTAAACTAAAACATGTATTTTTACAGTTTTACATTCTCTTTATTCTTAAGAACACTCTTCGTTGATGACTATATTTAGTGACTATACATTTATATAGTGATTATATTTGTGGTGAGCCAGTTATGGTGAAGATGGTAAAATCTTTAATGGAGTGCTGGTGGCATTAGTAATGATAATAGCCTTAATATAACTTCTTGTATCTTAGATTTATAATGAACATTTTGATGTAGACTTAATGTTCTCAATAACAAAAAACGGTCCATACCTAAAGTAAAGTCAAGGCGGTCCCGGGACTGATTAACCGATATCATCGATTGATAAATCGATGAATACCCACTACACTATTCAGTGTTTAATTTAGTATTTTACATATTTCCATGTTAAGAAATCGGAGAGGCTATTTCGAAGATGGTTGATTGTATTGTGTATAAAGCATTTTACCTTCTACCTTCTTCTAAAAAAATAAGCTATAAGGATATGTGTTGTAATGTTGAAAATATGCTTGTTTGCAACTTTTATTACTTTTCTATTTTAAATTGTATTTTTTTAAATGAAAAACTATACTATCGCATGTTTTAAAAGCAATATTTAAGACTACACAGTTTTTAACAATGTATTTCATATTCTCATTAAAAATGCGCCAACAAGTATGCTACAAAAACTATACCAAAAAATTGTGAGAAAGGATATGGCAAGGAAATGAAGAACTTTTCAATTTTGTTGAAAAATTATTTGAAAAAAGAGAAATTGATGTAAAAGAACAAATAGAATATTTTGTAATTAACAAATTCATTTCTGGTTTATGTTGTAACAGATTTTCACTCATAATTACTTTTTGTATTTTACGGCTCCCAAACGTGTTGCTACGTTAATAACATTCACAACAACTTCATGCTCCTTTCATCGACATGAACATGGTTAATGGGTCATTAGTATAAAAACACATTTATGCTATATTTCCGTTGTATTGTAACTTATATTCCCCTTTCCTCAGCGCTGCCATTAACGTAGCCGTTAATTGCATAACAAGTTCCGCTGATTTAGAGTTAATTAAGTGTTTCATTCGCTCGAGAGCAGGAAATAAATCAAAGTTATAAAAATCAATTGTGCTCTTAGTGCAGCTATTTTGCCATTTCACCATTTCAACGTTTCCATTCTTTTTTGCATTTCATTCTTGTTTACATATTTTATTTTCATTTTCACTTTATATTTTTCTTCTATACGTCTAAACTTCTATGCTTTTGGTCTTTAATATTGTTTTGTTTTTAATATAATTTTTATTATTTTCTTACCTTAATAAACTGAAATGTTGCTATTGGCGGTAAACGTTTACTCTTTGGATAGAAGAAACTGCCGGCTGGATGTGCAGGATAACGAGAAGTAATGCGATATATAACACCTTGAGGTGATGTGGGCCAATTGGGTGCTGTAAATGTGAAACCATTATCGGTACCAGCATCGAGTGGATCCATTTCGACTGTGACTGTGTCTATCCAAGAGCCACCAACGCAGAGCTGTAAATAAATTAATAATTTAATTGAATTAAGTAGTGACTTAAGTAGTTCACGATGTTAAGTAAATGGTTAAGTTGAGATAAGTAGAGAAATGCAACAAGTGTTTTTAATATTAATTTATTTACTATAAAGTTTAATTATATGGAGGAGACATTTCAAAAGTTAATGGGATAAACTCTGGTGATAGTATCTACTGACGTTGTTCAAATTAGCTTAACAATAGATAATGTTTTATTGATTTTATGACAAAAATAATTGAAATGAGTTGTTAATGAAATGAGTTGTTAATTAACTTTAAATGTACACTATAGAGTAATTATATAGAGATATTTGGAAGGAACTAATATAAACTGTGTGTTAGTAACTGTGACTGTGGTTCAATTAATAATGTATAATATCTTATTCATTTTATGACTAAAATAATTAAAATGAGTAGTTAACTAACGTCAACTGTACAAAACTTTAAATGTACATGAAGACTAATTATATAGAGATATTTGGAAAGAACTAAGAGAAATTGTGTGTTAGTAATTGTTTCTGTTGTTAAAATTACCCTAACAATGTATAATATCTTATTGATTTTATGACAAAAATAATTAAAATGAGTAGTTAATTAATTTTGAATGTACATAAAGAATAATTATATAGAGATATTTGGAAGGAACTAAGACAAACTGTATCTGTTGTTAAAATTACGTTATTGATTTTATGACAAAAATAATTAAAATGAGTAGTTAACTAACTTTAAACGATCCAGAATTTTTTGATTAAATATTCCTATCACAAACTCTTGTAACTTAATAAGCTTCCATAGCAACGCAACGGCCCATTATACCAGTTCTGATGGACTTTCGTATTAAATCCCACCACTCTAACTTAACTGAACCTAACAAGTTATTAAGATTTTAATTTTATAATATAATTTTGTTATATTTTAGAAAATGTTTTAATAAAATACAAACATTATTTTCCTTCTAAATTAAACGAGTTCCATTTTTCGCAAATTTAATTAAAATCAAAATCAAAGAAATATTTAATTGAATTAAATTTCATCGTTACTTTGCCTGTAATAAATAATTTCTAACAAACTTACTGAATCAATATTTACTAAAATGTTAACAAATCTGCTTTTCTGTTTCTCAAAGAATTCACTTAATTACACTTGAAAGCTAAATAGAAAGCAAATTCCAAATTTAACCACCACACTCAACTCCCCCGTAGCACTTTTAGAAGCTCTCAAATATTTGATAAAATCATTTATTTGTTTAATAAATAATTTACAAGCTTTGCTTGAAATTTGAATAACAATTTGTTTTTGTAAGAATTTTAAATACGCCATGGAATTAACAAATTTAATGAAGACAACAAGACAATCCTCATCCGCAAATAATGTCAAATAAATACGCCGCCGAAAAGTATGCTTGACAACAATAATTCGTAATTTGTGAATGCATAGACGAAAATCATCTTAAGCAATGTCGCAAATCGCATTAGTATAACCAGCACACAACTGAACGTAACCGAACTGGATTGGATTTAACGTAACGTAATAGAAACGTAAAGGAAACGTAATCGAATGCAACACAACGCAATACCACACAACACAGCACAACGTAATCAAATCACTACTCAACATTAATGTCGATTCCCTTGTCCGTCGATATATAGATTGTAGTATAGCATATCGGTTGATAAAGATAATAATCAACTTGATGACAATGATTATTATTATAATTCCAGGGTTGTTATTGTTATCATTAGTATGTAGTAATGGTGTAGTTACTGTTGTTGTTGTTCTTCTTCTTCTTCGTGCATGTCTTCAATGTGGCATTCCTAAGTCAATAGAAAAAACCAAAAAAAAAAAAAACTTAAATGCGGTTTTCTGCGTCTGCTGCTGCCACCACCACTGTTGTGTTTACTGTTGAATCCAAAGTACCGACAACTTCCACTGAAGCTGCTCTATATATATATATATATATATGTTCGCTAAGTACATTTCAATTTACTTGAGCTTACAGCCATGGTGAGTCGCTGCAAGCCAATACCGACCGCAACGTCTAGCTGCGTAGACAATAGTGGGAGCACTACTATGACTGCTTTTTGGCATGGTAATTTCAATTGAAAACCATTTCGAATTTAATTTGATTGGTTTCAAGATGAACTACGTATCTTTGCAGTTGTACATTGTCATTATTGTTGAAGACTCACTTCGATGTTGACAGCAGTGACTGTATTTGTAGTGGGGCAGTTAAGGTGAAGGTGGTGAAATCGCTAATGCGTTGCTGGTGGCATTGGTAAAGACGATGATGTTAATGCCACTCCTAAAGGCTTAGTTGTTTTGGGTTAGTGGTTGCTGTTTAATTCTGGTTTGGGTTGCATGTACTTCATCATTATTTGCAGTGATTTTGCTTACTTGATTGTTTTTTCCGATTTCAATATAATTACAATGAGTTTAAATTATAAGCCTTAATTAAGCGATACGTGCGTGAGGTGGAGAGATTAACATTGATGTACCTCAGTATTTGTATTTTGCATTGTTTCGAGATAATTTTAGAAATATATCAAAGGATTTAGTGTAAATTACAATATGATTATAAGTTTATATTCAATGATTAAATATTTAAAATGGTTTATTTAATTTTGTTTTCTTCATATTATATATATATATATATATATATATATATATATATATATGAGACATAAAGTAGGCAGTGTTGCGAGTTTAAGATAAATGTTTCTAACACATGAATGATTTCAATGTTAAATACTTCAAATTATATATTTACGATTCATTCATAAAGATTCCACGAATTCATATATTTAAGTCGAATTAAATTCAATTATGACTTAATATAAACCCTTTGTTCGACATCCCATACTAGCTGGTCATACCTCGTGTTTAATCGGTTATTAAGTCTATTTTTAAATCAGCTAACGATGCAGCTCTCTACTAAGTGGCCAATAAAATGTTTATAATTTATTAATTAGAAAAAACAAAACGAGTAAGTTCTTCAAATTAATCCTACGTGGACTTAGGAAGAGTTCACTAGATGCCGATACATGATGTCCGGATGGTCGTTAACCTATGTCTCTTGAAAGCCGAACCCTGAAAATAGTGCTGATATCTTTTGGACTCATTTTTCTTTTTCTCATGTATTAAAAATTGAGGTTTGCTTGCTCAATCTATCAGCTAAAATTGCTGGCATATTACCTAACTTTTCATCCTAATATACGTCTGGATCTGTTTAATGTGATATATATTTTTTTCTGTCACGTAAGTGCTAAGATTGCTGAAAAATTATTTAAAGTAACACCTTAACACCAGCTGGCAAATCACCTTTCGGAGCATCTAACTTAACTTCTGGCTGCGTCTGATGTTCTAAAGTGCTTAAGGTGATATACTTTTTGTTTTCTCTTATTTAAGTGCTAAGCTTGCCGACAATTAGCTGAAGGAACATCTTAACCTCAGCTGACAAATAACTTGTCGGGCTATTTAAGTTAACTTCTGACTACATCTTAGATTCTGATGTGTTTGAGGTGATAAATTTTTATTATTGTCTTTCGAAAGTGCTGGGATTGTTGATAAAATATCTGAAGGAACATGTTAAACTTAATTAACAAATCATCTTTCGGAACAGCTAATCTAAGATTCATTTTCGAGATAACTAAGCCAAGGTCTGGTTACCTTGGCTGAGGTGCTGAGGTGCTTAAGGTGATATACTTTTTTTTCTGTTTTATTTAGGTGCTTAGCTTGCCGACAAACATCTGAGGTGCTGAGATGCTTGAGGTGATATACTTTTTTTCTATTTTATTTAAGTGCTAAGCTTGTCGACAACCATCTGAGGTGCTTAAGGTGATATACTTTTTTTATATTTTAATTAAGTGCTAAGCTTGCCTGAAGGAACATCTTAACGTTAATTGATAGAGTACCTGTCGGTATATCTAAACCTATCTCTGGATATATCTAAGGTGAATATTTTTCTGCCTTGTGAAGGAAAATTTTAGCTTGTATTATTTTATTAAGAATGAATAATTTTCACTGCTAGTTTTTTATGTTTCATGTGATATTTTAATCTTCTTTACTTAATTTGAATTTTTGTTAGCATGAATATCAATTGGGTTAGAATAATATATTACTCCAAATGTATTATAAATCAAACGAAAAAGTAATAAATAATCATTAAAGACTGAATTGAACCTATTTGAATTGAAAATGAAGGTTAAGGTTTTCCATCAGTTAGTTTCCACGTTTTGTATTTCCACTTAAGATCTGAAATAAGTTTCAAGGGTTCAAATAATAATAAAAAAAATACAACAAAAGTTGTAGTTAATTTATTGAATTTTGGCTGACCATACAACGCTGTATTAAAAAGTACTCGAAACAGCGTTGTATGATCAGAAAAACTTCAATAAATTAATTAAAATTTTTGTTATTGTTTTTTTATTTTTATTCGAACCTATCGAATTTTTAAATAGTTTTCTTTCGTCATAAGACACGTTACTTTCGGTAAAAAAAATTATCATTAAAATAAGTTTCGTAGTTGATTGAACTCCAGATCTTTACGTTTATTGAAAATATGAGTTCTTCTTTATTTGAATAGCATTTTTTATTAATACTATATTTTAATATGAACAACTCATTAAAAGAAATATAAAATTCAAAAAGAAAATTAATATTTAATCTGGATATTATTTATTCTGATTTGAAATCTATACTAAAGAGTCTTATATCACTTCACTTGACTCTAACAATTTTTGACTATGACTCAAAGTGCTTTTAGTGCCACTTCAAAATGCATTAAGTTCCGAATGAAAATCGTTGTCATAAAAATATTTAGATAGTCTACAGCAACTCTTACCTGAAATGAATCGACACCGATAAACCAATCCGGCGATGGTACAATGCGCGTCATTAGAGAAACCAAACTATGATTGCTGTCGACAAAGAATTTTGCTTCACTACGTCCGGCGCCAGTAAAAATCGCGGGTACATTGAATTCATCGAAAATTCTCCGTTCGCCGTGTTGCTGCAACAAATTCGACTGCAGCTGTTGTTGCTGTTGCTGTTGTTGTTGCTGTTGCTGATTGCCAACACCATTTATTGTTGATACAAATGAAGTAAATGAGTTTCCTGTTGTTTGTTGCTTTTGTTGTTGTTGCTGCTGTTGTTGTTGTTCTCCTGCAATACTGTCCAAAATGTCTGATTTGCCAGTTTCAGCGAATTGTTTAACGCCGGGCGTCGCCTGTTGACCGATATGGTAAAGCGCATAGGAGGCGTCATGAGTGCGACCTAAAATAAAAATTAAAAGAATAAAAGTTAAACATCTAGCATTATGACAGCATAAAAAAAACAAATGTATCTCAAATTTTTTTATAAACATTTTAAAATTATTTTTGCAACAGTAAAGTTTGTGATTTAATCAAGTTTTTCAAGCTTGCCGGAGGTGGGGGAATATAGCTTTGCTTTTACTTTTACGCTACTATGACATTCATTCACCTACCGACCTCTAAGTATGCGGACTTATATGCGAGTATGTGTTGAGAATAACTTCACTTTCCAGCTCTGCTTTTTGGTTTTTCTGTCTTTCTTTCTGTCTTTTTTTTTGTTGACTTTTTTACAGTGTATGAATTAAAAGCACTTGGAAACCCTTTACGTGAAATCAAATGATAAACAAAAAATGAGTAAAGAAAACAAACACCAAAAGTTGAGTTGAGTTGAGTTGAATTGAAAAACAAGTGGAAAAATGAAAGGAAAAGGAATTCTACTGCATTTCACAAAACGCGCTGGTAAATATACTTTACTGCATAATTGAAAACGTACTTGTATTCTACTCCCTTTGCATGCAACGTTGCAAAAATGCTTGTCTCATTCCAATTGCAACTCTGCGCATTCATTAGAAAAACGTATCTCGTTGCTTCGGTTAAGCTTACAAAAATTTAAATTGCATTAAATATATTTTTTTCTGTTAGTTTTTTTTTCTTTTTCTAGTTGTTAGTATGCGGGAATTATAATTTCTTTAGCAGAATTTAATGTTGCTTTTATAAGCATTTTTTCTTTTTTTTTTCTTCATCAATTGGTTGCTCTTTGGATTTAAATTGTTTGCACAGAATGAAGTACCATTAGCACTCAAGGGTCTCAGTATTCATTAGTGGATTTAAGGATATGAATATCAGAAGATATTATTTTTGAAGTGCATCTAATATGTATATAAAAAATTTTATATGATTATATGATGGATTAAATAATTTCCACTGAGTATAAAATATGAATGAATAATTCCAAAAATAGCTATTCCATAATCTTTCACTGATTTATACTATTGACATTATATTTCATGTAATATGCATGAGTATTTAAATTTAGTGTATGTATTGTCCTTATTTCAGACCTAATTAAGTAGTAAAATTCATTAGTCTTTGATGAAATGTTAAATGCAATATGAAATATTATGGATTTCAGAAAAAGCTATATCTTATATAATCGTTAATTTTTCTAATTAACATTTTTTATCTCTTACATTCTTTTTGGAAAGATTTTATTGTGACAGTAAAATCCATCTTAAAAAATAATTTGAATTTATACAAATTTTATTATTATGTTGAGGCTAGTTGAGTCAGTGCACTTGAGCAGTTTTACTCTCTATTAACTGCGAAGTTTCTACATCACCTCTCTTTACGTCTTGACTGTATTATTAACTGATCTCAGATCTGCATACCTCCCCGGGGAGCCTGTTATCATTCTGAGATTGTTGTAGTAATGCTTTCTAAATATAAGCATATGCATTGGAGTGAAGCACAGATTTTTAAAGCACACACCAATGTTTACATCTGATTCAAAAGAATATGTAATATCAATCTGTGGAGAATTTCTAATGGCAACTTAGGATTTATGTCAAAAGACTCGGTTTGCAAAATGTTATATGCTAAATCAACATAATATAATGTATATACATATATTAATATATATATGGCTAACTGCAAAGATCTGTTAAAACTAGTAAATTACTGTAGAAGCAACTTTCAAATACAATCTAAAACATCGAAAAAATAGTAAATGAAGATATGAGAACTAACTGGGAAAACGTCTAAAAATGTCAAAGAATGTCTAAAAATATATATCCCGAAAGCTGATCAAAGAGAAAATAATATTAATATTAGAAAAAGAGATAATAATGGTTGATTACTTATGAATGAGAGGTTCTATGCTTCATTTAGGAGAAATGACATATATCATTGTCATCATCGTTACTCACTTATGATGGAAAATAGACATCTTAATGTGTGACGCCAACTTTATCTGGTGTCAAGAGCTGTTTTTATTATATTATTTGTATATATATCTATAAATATAAATATTTATTATTATAAATATTTAATTATTTATTTATTTTTTTTAAGTCATTTAGATTATTAATTTTTATTATTATTCTTTAAGTTTTGACGTGAAATCGCCCAACAGCCAGTACTACGGTCATATATCTATAGTCATATAGTCAAATATTACTTTATTTAATCGGCATAATCACTTGCATAAGATGCTTTCTATATATATATATTGTATCTTTTATTAAATGAAAAACCCTTTTTACTACAAATCCTGGTAGGATTTTATGATTTGTCTCTTTAATTTTAGGATCATATAAATGCTTTATTTAGTACACATTTAGTTACTCGTTTTTTTTTAGAACCAAATAAAACCTTTCACTTTCAATTCTTGTTTAAATGATCATTTAATACTATATATATCTTTACATAATTAACTCCTTTGTAGATATTTCTTATCCTTCAACCATAATGCAAAATAATAAACCAGCAGATAATATTGAAAGTTCAATTCCAATTATGCTCTTTGAAATTTCGAAGGCTCATAAATTATTCATAATATTTAATGGCAAATGATTAAATACAAACTTTGTTAAAACATTTTTGCATATTTTAGTATGGAATATTACCAAAAATAATTTTTATTTTTTTTTGAAAAAGTTTTCTACGTAGTGACGTTTCATAGTATAGTAACTTTCCGAATAATTTTTAATTAATTGCAAAATTTTTGAACAGAATTCCTACAATTTAGGTTAATTTCACCGAAACTAACTTTAGGGAACTTTCCTTAAAATAAATGCAAAACAAAAAATAGACAAAAAATGTTTGACACAAAAAAAAAAAAAATTGAGATATAAAATGAAGGTAAATTTTAGAAAAACTTTTTTTAAAAAAAGTATTTCAGAATGGTTTAAATAACTGACAAAACTATAGACAATGATAGTGGTTTCTAATTTATTCTTATCTCAACTTATCTTAACAACTCAACTTATCTATTTATATCGTATCTCACATGCATATTATTGCATTTGAAACTATATTAGAAATGGTAGTAAATAAAATACTTTGTTTAAATAATTAGTAATTTATTTAGTTTAGTATAATTAACTTAATTTAGCAATTTGGCCAATCAAGTGTTCCAATAAAACAAGGTATGCTATCAATTTTATATAAAACAGAATTCTGTGTGACTATACTTATTTACTTCCAAAATTTAACTAATCATTCTAGACCAAGTCTGTTATTGACCTTATCACTTTAGAAGTTTTGTTCTCCCATTGAACAGAATTATAAGCTTTGACAAAGGATCTAAATGATTTTAATTGTTAATATTTAAAAACTATACGGTAACACAATGGGCTTATAAGCCTAAGTGGATTCCTTGGGATCGACGGTATAATGGACGTACCTAATTCACTGCTTTTCGAAACCTATCTATATATTTAATTATTATCATCTCAGTCATTTCAGTTTTTGCATTGTAAAAGTCGATAATATGCAATGTAAAACTGGCTCTTGGACTAAGAATTTTCTGTTTTATGCAATTTTTGCATCGATCATATCACGGAATTATTGATTGATCGATAACGACATATTTTATACTAATCTGGCCTTTAGACTAATAACTTTTAATTGAAAAACTGTTTTATGCAATTCTTTTATCGATCACATTATGGAATTATCGATTGGTTATTGGTAACTACATATTTTATACAAAATTCACTTAAAGATTGACCAATTCGAAACTGTCTATCATATCACAAGTAATTTAAAATATATCCAGCATGTACTTCATCAGATTTAAAGTGGCAACTAAGTCTCTAGTTAAGCCATGTAAACTGTATGGTAAATATTTTCAGTAAACTGAGATCACGTCTTGTATTTACAAGTAAAATTCCTAATTTCCTTTTTACTAGCATGTAGTGGTGCTAAACTCTGTAAAATATGCTAACGTTTCCACAATTTCAAAATGCAATACGTGCCCAGTTACAGTTGTTGAGTAAGGGGTCCACTTGATGGGACATAACTGTGATAGACAAACTAAATGCGAATTTATACTCGCTACATTGTATTAAAAATAGTACATAGCGAAGTACATACATTTCAAAATATATATATTATCCTCTTGCTTCACTTTCCATATACCCTTTTCTGAATGCTTTGTTAAAGTTGTCCCTATAGAAAAGGGAATGTTTAAAATTTAGCGAAACATGTCATCAAGACACGTTGGTGTCCATTAAATACTCTTAAAAGGGAAAACTCATATAAAATGAATAAAATTTTATAACAAAATAGTGCACTTCCCATTGCATTTAGTAAACCCTTTTCTCTGTGTAGTACATACTTTACGAGTACAGCAAATGCTACGGCAGCTTGTTTCGGAGACATAGTCATAAAAATTACATCGCTTTAATACTTGTATGCAGAAAAATGCAAAAGTCCAAGAGAAAAACAATATTAAAAAAATGTTCTTAAAAAAATTTGAATGACTACAAATCCACATTTGAACTTTCACTTCAAAGGCACCGCCATCAAATGCAAAAATTTCCGTTGCCATTTTTGTTTGTGTATTTTCCGGTACTGCAAAGTGAAAGCATTTCACTAATTCGGTTCTTCTTCATTTTTCATTTTACAATGCAATATTCATTGTGTGCCAGTTTCAATTGGACTTAGTGTTCTTATAAACATTTCCAGTTTATTTTTTATTTGCCCTCAATTCTGTTTTTAATAACATTTTTTAATTTGTTATCTGTTAAATTCGGCAAGAAGGTCAATGGTACACAAGAGGTTTGGTTGAGAAAGACTAAGTGAAATGGTGAAGTAGGTTAAAGGTTCACTATAGCATAACTATAGTAAATGCCCTTTCTACTTAATAAATTAACATAAAAGTATAACATTTAAAAGATTATCTTCACAGTTAGGTAAAATGATTTTCTAAATAGAATGGAAATGCATTTATAAAACGGA